TCCCACTGGATGTATTATTTATTAACCATGCTATCCCATTGGAACTAAGGAGACTGGGCTCTTTATGGGAATCACTGAGATGCATCACTAAGCTGTGTCCACCCAGGAGCAGAGAGACATATTTGTTTACCTTTTCCGCTTCGTAGTCATTCAGATATTCCTGCTTGTCCTCCTCACTTAAGTCGCGCCACATGCTGCCGATGATTTTCCCAATCTCCCAGAGCTTCAGGTCAGGGTTGGCTGCTTTAACCTGATCCCAAACCTAAAAGAATCGACGAAGGAATTCATGTGACTCCATGAGCCATCGCAGCACTCTGCATGTGCCCGCAGCACGAGCTCAAGTTACCTGCAGCATGTACATTAGTTTTGTGGCAAAACATCAAGTGTGCAAAGTTATGCTGCGTCACTGTAGATGAGTACCAACCTTTCTGCTGTACCGCATGTAAGGCATGAGGGGCTTGTCTGGAGCCTTTGGGGCTTTTGGGACATTGATACCGCTGGCCTTGAAGAGATAAAAAAAACCCAAGAGAATAACATTTGCATAACTTTTGTTAACACAATCCATTAAACTGTATATGGCCGAAGCAGCAACTATAGAACACTTAAAAACACAATTGGTGAGAAATGTGAATTAATTTGCTTTAAGTTGTAACTTTTTGCACAAAAGCAGGGCTCTTTCCCATCCAGGCTGTAAGCATACCATGGATCTTGCATTGCTTCCTGCATTTCCTCCCAGCTTGTAGTTGTTATAAGCCAAGTGGCTGTAAATGTTGATGCCCACATATCCTGGTGTGCTCGCAGCTTGCTGTAAGAAAACAACACAAAGCCATTATTTCAAAAGGAAAAGGTAATATTGACAAAATCGCCACAGCTCTCCATTCAACCAAACACATGGGCGCAGGTGTGAGAAATTGGCCAAATTGATTGACCAAAGGTGCGGTTCTTTTGGCGCGCTCCTAAGGCAGCATCGGGTGAGCATTTATGCTTACCGATAGCGTCGAGACACCCGGGGCAGGAGAGGAAGCATACGGGATGCGCCCTGTGTGAACATGAAGACATAGTGTCACTTTTGCAACAGAAAATCTTACGTCAAACAGGCGGAACTTTCATTAGTGCATTTTTTTAGAAGTAAGAAAACAAAGTTCCTACTTGTAGTTCCTGTTTGTTCCTTAAAGCTCTTACATGAGATAATAAAAACTGATTTAACCAAAAATTCAGGAAAATAAATATCTCCTGTAGATGGGCTATAAATAGGATTGTTGGAGAAATAATTGTAATCTGGTTTCACATTAAATGTAGTCAACTGAGCGGAACTAAACGGTTTAACGTGTTCATGTAAAACTGTTAAGGCAGGCACAGCTGACATTTCAGAGGTTTATTATTTAGGTGCCGAGGCCACCCGAGGCAAAGTCTGCTGTAACTTTATTCAGAGCCCGTTACATATTAATCGGAAATGGAATCACAGTACTGTAGTTTATCCAGTTCAATTTCTGTGTTTTCGATGCCAATTCATACATCAGAATTTCTGTGCAAGGGGTGAAGAGATAATGCAGTTGACTCATCCACAACTCCTGTTACCCTTGGTCAAAATCTAACTGCACAGAGATTGCTTCTCCTGTTTTGCGTGATGTTTCACAGGAAAATTAGTCACCACCGGGAATTGGGAGACAAATTACTCCAAATTAATTTATCAAAGTAGACTAAAAATTCTACTGCTGTGGCTATTTAGCAGATAAGAAGATGTACGTGCCAAATTCTTGCAGATATCTGCATTTATCTGCAGCCTCCCAATGTGGATTATTGATGACTGCGGTGATGCTGTTGAAGACGAACACGAATCGAACGGCAAATGTATATTATCCGCGTACATTCACGGCTAGACAAGTGGGTCATGTTATCAGGGATCAATCCTCGCGTAAGATGATGTAGCCATAATAGCGGCAAATTGCTTTTAATCATGTTTATACGATCCGTGGCCACCCACCCCAACCCCAACTAACATATCACCACGAATGAGGAATTTACTGTATTAGCAACTTTGGTAGAGGTTTACACGGAAAATAAAATCTGAGCAGGCGACCCCCATGAATTGAGGGGAGGTTTGGATGAGAATAAGAAGCAGCTATAAAGTCTGCTTACTGGACATATTGTGGAATCCCCCTTTCTGCGATGAAAGGCACTAATCTTCGTCTTCTTTCAATTTCCACGAATCTGGATTATAAAAAAGACAAGAAAACCAATCACAGAGGCAGTAGTTGTACACTGAAAAACATCAACAAATAAGGTCAGCACAGCAGACATGTCACAGTTCAGCTGCCTTTTATTTATGGGCCAAAGTAAAACAAACTCCACACTTCCCTGAGCACGTGTATTTAAGCATTTAAATAGTAAACATTAAGGGCTGACCACTAAAACCATATGCGTATGTGTGTACATATATATTAAATTGTTAAATAATTAGCTATACCATTTATCATCAGCTGTGTTCTATCTACTGCTGGATGAAAATCTCCCCCAAGCCGTTGATATTTTATGGTCTCACGATGAAATTATCCATCTTGAGCCTGTACAAGAACCAATGCAATCACTCCATCTCCGTGGTGGACTACCTCCCTCTTGATGTTATTTGTCGACCAATGAACACCATCCCCTCTAGCCAAATTTACTTGCAGGTGTCGCGAAAGCCTACACGTTAAACTTGCAGATGTCACGAAAGCCTACGTGTTAAACTTGCAGATACACCATTGGAACCTCCTTTGCCAGTAGCAAAATATGATAATTGTTTTTTTACCCCTTTTATCTGGCAACAAAACTGACACCTTTTTCAATGCAAACATGACTCCTTGTAAAAAAATTTTTTAATCAATTATCAAACTTGCAGATGTTATATGATCTATGTGTTACTCTTCCTGTCAGTGTAATTCCATGCATGCACCTCTCCATGTCCTTTGTGCAATTTCAGCTTTTGCTCAATTTTCTTTGGCAATGTACATGTTTCTGTTAAAAATGCCACAAGCAAAGAATATACATTTCGATTTAAAGAATATTATTGCGTTATTTTATTTTATCAATATATTATTTTATTCTCATTCTACGTGACTATACCGAAAGAACCAATTAGAATATACACTAATTAAAAACATCTTTTTTTACGCCGCTATAGTGCAGTTATTGAGACCGACCGGAATGAAAACGATGAACTGGAGATTTGGATGAGAGCAGGTTGGTGTGCTTTTAAAAAACTTAAATTTCAAAATGAAAAGCTGCACTAAGAACCCGACGAACTCCGTCTTGGCAAGTGATATCGCAAACGGGGTCCTATCTTCCCTCACTTAACGCACACTGACCAGATTTAAGTATGGTTCAAAAGCCCCATAAACGGCATGGCGTGGGAAGACCTTCATCCATTGTTGGATTCAGAAGGGATGGAATATATTGGTACGAAACCAACATAGCAACAAGTGCCAATTTAGGGAGAATAATTGGCCATTTAGAGATAACAATTGGTGTGGGGTCCCAAAACACTGACCAGGGTGATACCACTTGCTATCCGAGCAAGCCAACTTTACATGCAGCAAATTGTTTCCCAAATCCGCATACATTTAAACGTCAATGGAACAAACAATTGAGACGATGAGATGGAGAGATGGACAAGATTAACTCTGTGGATACCAAGATAAGGCAAAAAAGAGACACAGGACGACATAGCAGTAATAAGAAGTGCCTGAGATGAAATAAAAGAATCTGGCCACTGTGGGACTTGATTTAACTCTGAAAAGGAATGGGAAGAAATAGGGGAAGGCGGAGCCCAGAGCAGTGGGAAGTTACGGACTGACGACAGCCCCTAAACAATGAGGGCTGTGGAGGGGACCTGGCGTTTGAGAGAGGGCACACACACACCCCCTATGGGAGATGAGCTGCGAATCAGAGGGCCTTTTGACCAGAGGTGCTTGACCTTTCCACAAACACACCCCTCACCATCCACGCCTGGCTTTGCATAACGGTACACGCGTGTCTGTGTCTACGGTAAAGGCAAGCGCAGTGTCCTTGTTTTTCAATCAATCCACAACGCTGGACGAGGGCCTCCCCCACGCTTTATGGGCGGCGAGATACCATACTTCACCACGCTAGTCAATGCGAGGTTGTTTGAACGTGTGTGGAGTGCGGTGTGTACTCCGTATGGAATTATCATATCACTTCTGTATCATCATCCACAGCGTGACCGCTGCAAAACTCCTTTCTCCCATCAAAATCCGTACTGTCGACCGACTTACTCCCTGGCCCCCGGCCATGCCCACGCTCAAGTTCTTCCGATGGCCCCGTTTCTCTCTCCAAATAAATAGGCGCACTCACTCTCTCTCTGTGCGACTTCTGGAGACGCGGCCGCATTGAGAAGCGATATAAACCCGCGCCGTGCTGCAACTTAAGACACGGACATTAAGTTCGCAGATGGGGGGGGGGAGGTCCCAACAACACACAGCGATGGTGGTGGCAAGACCACGGGCGAACACAACTTCTTCCTCATCAACCCCGACCCCTCCCCTCCCCCCCCTGCTGCTCTCGTCTCACCGACGCAACAATCACGAACATGACGACGGCCCCAACAACAACAACGAACCCAACAACAACAAAAACAAACAAACAAGTCCCACGTTTCCGCGCCGCTCACCGCTTCGTCCTTTGTTCTCCGCTGCCGGGGCCGCTCATTCATTCACGGTGCGAACGATCTGACGTCACAGTGCGTGATGACGTCACGAGCGCGAAACCTCCCCTTGTGCCGTACGAAAGATAATCTACGCGTGACGCAATCGCGTTGGCGTCGTGACGTGCTATTGGGGGAGGCGGGTGGAACCGCACAGGAAGAGGCCGACCTCAAGCGCGCGTTACGCCTCGCGGCCCGCGTGCGTGATGTCACGACGCAACATCGCACGTGCGTGCTGACGTCACGACGCACGCCCTCGCGGCGCGCGTGCGTCGTGATGTCACGACGCAACATCGAGCGTGCGTGCTGACGCCACGACGCACGTCCTCGCCGAGCGTGATGACGGCGGCCGTGGGGGGTGACGTCAGGACCGCGTGGTTCGCGACTTCCAGAAAGGAGTCACGTGACCTTCGAGCGACTTTTATTGCGAATTATCCTGACGCCTTACATTTTAATTAATTAAAAATACTAGAAAAATATATATTCGAAGTTTTAACTTAAATACACGCCAGTTATGTTGTGCACAGGAAGTGGATATTGCAAGGTAAGCAGGCGCCACGAACGAGCACGACGCCCGCAACTTACTGCATGCATCCTCTTTATCTCTTACACCTTCATGAGTGCTGTTTGTTGCTGACCGCTTGGCTGTTTTTGGACCTTGAGAGCCTCTGCTCACCGATCCGTGACATTAAAAATTAAACGCGCACCACATACAAAGGAGCGGTAAAGAGGCCATCATTTCGATTCCGTATCACGATTAAAATAAAGGATTGATTCTAGTTCTGCCGTGCCGTGCGTCTTAACCTTATTCTGATCATCGTCCTTAATGTGTACAACTTTCATGCAGGATTTTACGTAATGCAGTGCGTTTTATTTGAAGCGCACGGCCTCCCGTCGTGTGTGAGCGCTCGGATCGACAACGCCTCTCTGGGAACCTCGAGTAACGATGCGTAAACGACAATGCCGCGACAATAATCGATTCGTCTATACCGCCTTCGCGTGTTTTTTGCTTCTTTCTGATCGAACAGCTGCAGACAAACGACTGCATATAACATTTTTGCACTATTGCCAAATATTAATGTAATCGCACGGGAAATGTTTTGTGAAGGAGTCGGATACCAATGAATCGATTTTACCGGCCGAATCGATTCTCGCCAAAAAAAAACCTCGGGCCCGGATTTGGCGCCAAAGCGAGAGCGGCGCTTGGGAACTCGACGCCTCGAGTCAACATTAACATTATTATCATTATCATCAACGATATCAACACTCACGATCACAATCAACCGAAACAATAGTTCAACTATTTAAAAAAAACAAATCTGCGTCACGTCACGCACGGCAGCATTCGGCCGCGGTAAATAACCTGCTCCCGGCACGGTAACGTCGAATGGACCCGACTCTTGGTCAGATGTAGAAGAGGGGGTCCTTCTTTTAAAACGAAGTCTAGTACGCGACTTCACCGTTTTACTTCACCGTTTAACGCTTCACCCTGCATCATACTGCCGGTTGGTAAGCGCTTTTTTTAAAAAAAAATTCCGCCGAGTTTTAATTGAGGGGATGTGAGGATGAGCCCCGTCACGGTAACGTGGAGTTTAACGCAAGCGTATCGGGACCGACAACCGAAATGACATTGCCCATCATTTCATGTTGATTACAGAGACAGGAGAAGTGATGTGTTGCGGTCAGGACGATTTATGTAATTATATTTGTCTCGCAACTGGCGGTGGCCAGTATGTGGAATCATACCACTGGATTCGTGGATCTATCTGTAGTTCTAGATTTAAAGCTATCTGTAGTTGCTTCTAGTGTTACCGCATCAGATGTGTGGTGGGGTTTTCTCCCGGCACTTCGAATTTCTTGCGGCACTGATATATTTTAGCATTTGGCCAAATATATATAAAAAAAGTGCAATACAGTATACCCTTGTGAAAACTTAACCAAGACTTCGAGCTCTCCCTGTGTCCATCAAGGACATTAATCATGATTGTTGTGTCGTCGTCTTTGTAGGTCCGCAATTCGTGCTGGCCACTGCTTCTTAGTTGATGTGTCCAGGGCCTTGTATACGGGATTTTACTGTATTTATGTTGTATGGGATTTAAATGCTGCCCCACGGCAGCAGTTGTTATGCTTCGTATTACAAACCATCTGTTTTGAGCCATATCAGCCTAGATGTCTGTTTTAAAATTGTTACTACTCGTGAAACGATACCAATCATGTTAATTGCAAGGCGTTGTTCCTTGATAAAGGTCAATCTCTTGACTGGGGATGAGGCAGGGAAATCAATAATTGTGAGTTACCTAATTGTTATTCTTGTACTAGAATGCTGAATGGGAGGTTAATTTAATATATGAAATGTTTTTTTGTAATTTGGTAGAAAATAATGTAAACCTTTGCATGAATATTCTATCCTTATTTTTCCTTGTATTAAGATTTGACTTGATGAGGGAGGATGACAAAACGCAGTGCTGAGAAGCTATTTGTAAAGTTTGTTGAAGACAATGAAAATGAATCAAAATATTTCAAAGAAGCTTATGAGGTAAGGTCAAAATAATATACAGTCAACATGCTCATCGCCATTTAACTTGCAGTTTTTACTGTCAGCATCCAGGTTTATGTTAATGAGCGCCTGTTCTACTTAATAGAAAATCTGCAAAATTCAGTCGGAGTCGTTACTGCAGCGAGTGGATGCGGCGAAGGTGCTGACATTGAAGGAGAAGGATAGGTCACTCTATGTGTGCGACCCCTTCCATGGAGTCGCCTTTGACCACCTTGTCAAAGTAAGCAGCTTCACCGATCCCACCCAGTGCTGTCCATCAAACACCTCACTTTTTCCCTAACAAGAGTACGGGGAAGCATTAAAGTGAAGGATGAGGGCAATAAATGGATACTAGACATATAACAATTCACCTGTTCAATTTGTGGCCATAATTTGATTAAAAAAAATTGTTTGTGATTGTGGTGCTTGTACAATCCATAGTTATATGTATGTATGTTCAACTTTTTGCACACCGTATGTAGTCAACTGCTAATTGCGGGGGCAGGACAAAAAACCAAACACAAAAGGCAGTTCTAAAGAAAGCAATGAAAAAAAACCTCATAGTTGCATTAATCTATGCAACCAGTAGTTGTATGAACATATTATCTACAATAAAATATTCTTAGGTGTATGGAGAGTATAATTGATTTACATTGATGAATAATTACATTACTAGCAGGTTAATATGCAAATGTATTGTTTATTTGAGAGTTTATGATATAAACAATTTGAATGTGTGCCTTGCCCCCCCCCCCCCATTTGTCCCTTCTTCCACCACAACTCTCAACCATTTCCATTCCCACCGACTGCTGCTCAAAGATGGGGTGCCGAGTGGTGGGGCCACAAGTGGTGCTGTTCTGCTTGGACAGGGAGCGCTGCGTTCCAAAGGCTGAGCACCCTGTGTATAACATGGCTCTTGCAGACGCAGTACTGTCCTGCACCAACCTTGACAAGGATGTCCGTGTATGTCATGTTCTTGTGCACTAATATTAGCGTTGACAAACGTCATATTCATATATCTATGTGTGTGCATATATGTGTGAGATATTACAATTCACAAAGACATACGTATTAAAGGGGGAATAGTTATGTTCGAGGAAGATTTTTGGAAATGCTTTTTTATATTTTTTATTAAATCGCAAAGACCAAATAGTGTTTGTGGAGCAAAAAGATCCTTCCATCTGAAGGAGTGTTATGGGTTAATGGCATCGCAGAAACAAGAGGGATGTTGATGTAAAGATGCCTTCTTTCACAAATGGATAGACAATTGTGGATAATGAAATCAAGTGGAATGGATTACTCCTCTGCAGTCCCATAGCAATGAGGTGTTCTTGCAGCACGGAATGGAAGGAGTGTGCCGGTGATTATTAAAGCAACAGAGCAGTGTCATAAATCTTGATTTAAAGCTTTCGTGACTGCAGGAATTCATATTCTTTGGGTCTTTCGGTAAAGCCACGTAGATAGTTTCAAAGAAAATAACAAAAAACTACGACATTTCGATCGCAACACAAGCGGTCGTCATCAGGAAAAGGGGGTTAGCTTCTGAAGGCAAACTGTTTTGAAATGGGTGTAGCCCAAATGTCAGCAGCATGGGCAGGGCAGCTAATGTTAATGTAATTGGTGGGCGGCGACCGCGACGGTGGTGGGTTTTCCATCAATTAATGGGCTGCCAGGTAAAAATTAGCATGTTAATGTAAGATCGGTGAGCGGTTTCCACGGCGAGCGCGCTGAGGTGGCTATGTTAATGTGAGAGATTAGCATGTTAATGTAAGATCCCTGCGATCACTTGTGTTGCGATCGAAATGTAGTTTTTTTCTTTAATCCTATCTATATGACTTTACCGAGAGATCCAAAGAATAGAGCAGTGTCATATTTGGTATTTTAACAGTTGAAAATATTTTATAGAGGCTTAGGTGAATTTCAGATATTGAATGCACAAACCATGTGCTGCCGATTGTATTGTACATCCAGGAGGAAATGCACAGGCTGATAGGGCTGATGGGAGGCCGGGTGCTGAGGGACTTCACAAGTGCCGTCACCCACCTGGTGGCTGGGGAGGTTGGCAGCAAGAAGTACTTGGTGGCTGCCAGTCTGAAGAAGCCCATAATGCTTGTCTCCTGGATCACCACTTGCTGGGAAGCTTCCCAGGAGAGGTGGGCCACTGGATTTTATATTAGTGTAACAGCAACATGTACAAACAACTGTGTTAATCAATAGCTGGGTGTGATTAAATTAACATGCCAGGCCATAATCTGGTAATTACATTTTTAAATCATAATTATATTACCAATATGATTTGTATTTTATATACTTGTTCAACTTTAATATATTGGACGCAATTCAAGTGTTGATTTAAACCTGACCTAGGTATTTTAGCATTATGGAACCAAACATTTGCATCAATATGTAAAATTAGTTTATATCTGCCAAGCATGTGTAAGCGCAATTCACATATTGGCTGGCTGGAACACTTGACAGAAGCTGCTGGAGGCATCTTTGTGATCCACCACTTACTAAGTCAGATTCACATCTGCCAAGTTAAGACCAGTGGATCAATTGAAGTTTTAAAAGTATCTCCATGCCAAAATGGGCATTCCTTGGCTAGAATGATGAAACAATACTTTGTCATAGATTTCATAATCTCATAGAAACAGACCATGGCACCATTAAAATATATAAGCATATGCAAAACTTTCCTTTAAGGACACTGAGACAAGAGGCTTTCCTGTATTATTACTATTTTGTTACGTGAAACCATGGTGGTCAGGTATTAAAATGCCTTATTAAGCACATGCCGCATCCAAACATGGCTGGCCCCACCTTGATGGACAGTTTGCACGAAGAAATGCTAATGTAACAGTGTCAATGTTGTCTAGCACATAATCCCTAATTTGATGGAGCCACAGCAGATCTGTGATGGGATCAAAGTCTGATCTAATTTGGAGTGATGAATAGGACTGAGCAGGATTTGTGGGACACACCAACTTTGTGCCAAGCGTTTTTTTTTATTGGTCCGCCAGAAGCAGTGAATTGCATGCATTGTGTGTTAAACAGTGATTGGGGAAGCATTTGAAAATTCAAAATTCTTGTGAAAGAGATTTTCAGATGCTTATGCCATTGGTGTGTACTTGTTGCAGACAAATCTGGCAGCCCTAACCTCAACACGACTGTTTGTGTTCCTGGGCTACGTGTCCTTGTGTCTCAGGATGGTGTGCGGTACGGACAATGAGTGGCTAGAGAAGCACATGTGTCCACCACTGCAGGGCTGCATGCTGAGTGTAACGGGGCTAAGCACCCAGGAGAGACGGGACATCCAGCGCCTCGTAACCAAGCATGGTGGCACCTACTCTGGAGAACTCAAGATGAACGAGTGCACGCACCTCATCGTGCACAAGCCACATGGTTCGTAATGCATTTGTATTCTTTGAGAATTTTTTTATTTCATGCTGTTTGGAGACATGAAGAGGATTGCATTATTTTTAGGGCATACACACGTTATAGACATTATCTTAATAGAAGTAATTGGGCTTGGGCAGGACATATAGCTAGAAGGGATAATGGGCAGCAGTGGAGATGAATGATGGAGAGGCAGACAGAAGGAGGAACATGCCCGAAAGGATATCACCATGATTTCAGCTTGTGTGCTGGAGCCGGATGGATAAGAGATGACAGTTTGGGCAGACTTCCTTCATTGTCCTGGTGATGGTTGATGATGACGATCACAAATGCAGAGCTTTGCCTTGAAACCCAAGGATTAATTAAAGGTCTTTGTTGAGCATTTTTTCCTCTCCTTGCTTGCAGGGCAAAAGTATGAATTTGCACGCAAGTGGAACGTGGCGTGCGTGACGGTGCAGTGGCTGCACGACAGTGTGGAGCGGGGAGCGTGCCAGGACGAGAGTCTCTACTCCGTGCTGCCACTCGATGACATAGAGGGGGGGCCCCAGGAGCCGAGCACCTCCACACCCTCCCCCTCACGCGGCCGCCCTGGCTGTAAGGATCAACTATAATTGCATTTTGCTGTGGGTTGCTTTCATCATGGGCAAAATGCCAGGCACAGTGGCTGATGTAGTGTACTTTCACCTTAATCATGTGCATGTAATATGATTATGCTGCGGTGCTCCTGAAGTAAAGGGTGATTAACTTGTGATACCAATTGATTTCTAAAGAAGTGTTCATTCGCACATAATATGGTAAAAGGTAGTGGTGTAGCCCAACGAGAGCTTGTTCATATCACCACTGCTGGGAGAAGGGCCTTCTTTAAAGGGAGCTTGAGAGCCATTCTAGGGGGTACTTTGGCCTTTTCTTTCACGTTAGCCAGACGTACCCAGACTTTTTCCTGCCACAACCTGCCCATTGACTAACTGAAGTGTACCTATTTATTTAACGTCGTGGACTGAGGCAGAAGGATTTAAGAAACGTGTCCATTATTTCAACAATTGTTCATGAAGCCTGTCTTTGCCAGGCAAAAGTTTTCAAGAAATATAATAATTAACCTGATATGAATTTTTTACAGTTTTTATCGACAATCAAACGCTAACAACTGCTCCAAAATGTTGTATTTTTCCGCAAAAACAATTTGTTGACGACTTGATTCAACTTATATCTTTTACCATTTTCGAATTATTGAGATTTGACCATCATAAAATGCGTTTTTTTTGTTGTTAAAAACCGCTTTAATCTGAAATATCTCAAAAACAATAAATGATAGAAAAATAGTTCTCACTTTAATTGTATTTGCTGTTTAATGCTTTATCAAAGAAAAAAACGCAATCTTATATTTTGAACGGTTTCTGAATGACATGCACAAACATTTATGTGGCACTTAAAATCGAGATTTGAAGGCCTTAAAATGAAAAATGTTGGATTTTTAGTTGTTTTCTGTTAGTCCTAAAAGCTACTTAGGTATAAAATTTAGCTTTATTTATACAGATGCCACAGCATTACCGTCACTTGACGGTAATGCTGTAATGCTTAGATCATAAATCCAGTGAACTTCAAAGTATAACGGACCATTCATTTTACTTCTTGCAGCCTGTGCCATGTCAAACGTAAGCAGCATCTCGAACATAAGCATGAGTCGCATCAACGAGACGGTCTCCACCACATCCATGGCCACACGGTTGGAGGTGATGGCAATGGGGGCTCGGGCCGAGGTGGACGAGCTGGATTCCCTGGACCCTGCACATCTGTATGGCCTTGACTCTTTATTGGATGGCTGCAAGGTGAACATCATCGCTGCCAATTGCCGTTTTTCTGTAACGAGCTGACGGATGTTAAGATAATATATTGAAATTAGAGCTGACTTTGGTGTGTATGTAGTTGTGGTTTCCTGGTAAGGCTCTAATTTGGATTATGGGTTGTCACCAGCTTAGGTGTATGTTTGAGGTTAAGGTGATGATTATTTTAGTGAATTCAAATTAAGAGAAGGGATTAGTGGTGAAAAGTTAGTTTAGTATTTCAGAATTACATTAGTAATGGCATTTTAACCAGAATGAATTACCTTAAGCGTTTTAAACTTGCATGAACTCGTCTATAGAATCGAGAGCAACTTGCGTTAATTCCAGAGAAACTTACAACTTGATGGTCTGGATTATTTATGGTCGCATTTAGTTTGTTTTCTTGCTGGCACAGATCTTTGTGTGCGGGTTTTCTGGGAAACGTCTGGAGAAGCTGCGGAGGCTGGTAAACCTCGGTGGAGGAGTACGCTACAACCAGAACAGTGCAGATGTGACTCACATCATCGTCGGGGACCGTGGCCGGGAGCGGGATCTGACTCTTGTGCAGGAGAACTCCATGTATGTATCATACCGTACTCGGCAGGGCCGCAGCACCACGCAATCGTCTATCAAATGACTCAACTCACTTTAATTATAATGATCTTTATATGTGGTTTTTCGCATTAAAATTAATATTTGTGAACCTAATATATATTTTGTTTGCACATGTGCATGTACAGCCCTTTTGGTCGAACATGTTATGTATATCGTTTGTTGTTGGATTTGAATCACAGTTCCTATGATCACTTTTACATTGTTTTTGTGGCTTTATTTTGGTGATTTTGCGGACGGTCTGGCCATGTTTGTTTGTTGTAGTACAGAGTTGGCCTGATAACTTTAATCTACATTTTTTATGGTTGTTGAAATGCGGTGTGTTTTCTGGAAGACTTTGCTGTTTTTTCCATGATTTTTTCTGTTGCGTGTAGTCACTTTAAGATGCTTCTTGTTCATGTTTTTGTTATGTTGCGGTTGCACCCGAGTCAAGAGCCGCATGGCTCACAGGGTTATACCTAATAAATGAAACTGAACTGCAGGATGAGGACCTCTCCATGCCATGTTGGTTTATATTTGACCATACTTGACCACAATGGTCATTGACAGTTGGTGAAGAATAGGGAGCATTGACGTTGGAGGATAAAATTACAATCCAACGATGTATTTTATTGCACCGACTACCATAAAGCTCAGTAGCCTATGCATTGTAGTTGCCCAACCAAACACTATGCAAGCTCTACCCTGCCTACCTTCTGAGATCTTACAAGATAGGATGCATCGCGGAATATTTTTGTTTTAAGCTACGTTTGCTTTGTGTAGACTTATAACATAGTCACTATTTACTTTTGCGACATATAAATACTTGTAAGCTGTATAATGTTAATTTTACTTGAAAAACTCTACGATTACATGTTTCTGTGCAGGCGTAACGTCGTGACGGCCAAGTGGCTTGTAGACTGCTTCACCCAGCGCCGCCTACTACCAACCGAGCTGTACCTTCATCCCGACTACACGGCCCCAGAGGAGATCCTCCTGCAGGCCCCTTTGGCCCCCGTAGCCAGTGCCCCGAGTCAGCAGAGAGTGCCGCCCCTCACTGCGCAGGGCCCTGCAGGGCGAGGCCGTGGAATCCGCAGCAATGCCGGTGACGGGATGGAACGGACAGATGATGAGCTCATGTTGCAATATTCACAGTCAAGTACGTGATGCAGCATTTAAGTTACATACCCTATGTTTTTATTAACTGGTAATAGTTGGTCAATGAGTCATTTAAAAGTGAGCTCTGTCTCCTGATTATAGCATATAAGTCAACAACAAACAATAATGTACCATTTTGTTAACATCACTATTTTCATATTTGCTTGACTATTTTAGGAGACAATTTCATGGAATGTTTTCTGACTTCACAAGAGTGGCTTACAAATATTTTTGCAGTGGATATCCTTACACAATAGTATTTTTTGTTTTGGCTTTTATGCGTGCATCATTGCTTGTTTATCAGCCAAGAAAATGCTTTCGAATACCTTTTGTGTTATATCCTCAAGCAGCAGATGGCATGGTCAGCAGAAATGCAACAGACAGAACGTACACGGAAGAATCTCACACCAATACAACAATCATCAACGCGATGCCTTCCACAAGACTTTTGGCGAGCATGGCCACCAAGGGCGACTCGACGCTGTGCGAGGACTCAGGTGCCGGTATTTTCAGCGGCAAGCGGTTTGCGGTGGTGGGGTTCTCTGCAGACGAGGAGTCCGAGCTGGCACTGCTGGTGAGCGAGCACGGCGGGAAGATGCTGCCAAAAAATTCTCGCGCCGTGGCCCACTACGCCGTGGTGCCTCTGCTGGGCTGCGAGGTGGAGAACACTGTGCACGAGGTCGTCACCAACACATGGCTGGCAAGTCCCCATGACCCTTCTTCATTGGTTCCTTTACTCATGTTGAGGGCTCGGTCAACCAAACTGACTCTATTGTTTCATCCATACTTTGTTCAACCACCATGCTGCAGATCAAAACGTAGCTTTCTGCCTCTCCGCACACTATAAAACTGCTGGATTTGGTATTCCCTCTCGTCTCTTTTTCAGGATTCTTATGACCTTACTTCAATAAACGTATTAATGCTCATCTATTACACCTCCAATAGTCATGGTTTTCTGGCTGCTTTGCATTTTGGGCCATGGGGTCTGTGGTCAGCAACCAAGATAAATAACCAAGCGCCCTCTAAACCTTCAACGAGTGTGCCCAGTTTTGGCGTCAGCAGCACAAACACACTTAGCAGACTGACGTGGAAGCACACATTGGCATTGGTGTGTGTATTACGGGTAATTTGCTAAATTGTCTTTACTAGGCCTAGAATTATTTACCCGCTCCCTCTTCTGATGCATTTGTTGTTGGGTAAAACATATCTAATTTAGTGAATGAATCATTGCAAGTCTAATGTGCAGCAAATTTAATTATTAAAACGACATTTGTCCCTTTTCACCTATGCACTTTAGTGTTACATTCATTCCACACATGAAATGGCTAAATATTGTGTACAGTACAGTCTGTGATGGAGTTGGTAAAAGTAACATGGACAAAGTTTAGATTTAAAAATTGTTATCTTGCAACTCAACGTGCAAAAGGTTATGAAACAATTCAGCAAGGCTTTGTAACAGTATCAGGATGGTTATTACATTTATGTAGTGATGAAAGTCGGTTTATGTAATCTGGCTACAAGGCATGTATGTATCTGCTCCTGTCATGATTTGTTAATTATACATTTGGATCACAATTAGATTCAAAAATGGATTTTGTTTTTCGTTATGGTGACAGTAATACCTCTGGAGTGACTGTAGGGTTTGTGTGAAATTATATGCAACTTACAAATAAAAAAATCATGTTTCAGTCGTGAGCTTAAGAGTTTAGTTTAATCAAATAATGTATGCATCGTCTCTACATTCCAAATTTTTATTTTGTAGTTGTCTTGCCTGCAAGCCCTTCATGAGACTTGCATCTGTGTGCGCAATGTCTGATGACAGGTGATGTGCGTGGAGCAGCAAAAGTTGCTGGAGCTCAATTCCAACCCTCTGTTCACGCCTGTGCCCGTGCTGGAGGGACACTACCCACTGTCCGCCTGCGTCCTGTCAATCAGTCAGTTCACAGGGACTGAACGTGACTCTCTCATCTTCCTGGCTGAAAGACTTGGGGCAAGGTATTATGAATTCTGGATGCAAATGTACTGTGCTAACACTTATAATTGGAGGATGGTTGGATGAATGAAGGCTGTTTGGGGACCATATGACAGGAGCCATCTTCTTGTATAACTTTTGTTGAAATGTGTCACACATCACTAAAGCCATCGAGTTGTACATAAATGACATACATGAAACTAATATATTGAGAAATCATAGATAAAACTACATTTTAATTCAAAACCTCTCCACGTCACTCACCAATCTAAATATGATTATTATATCGTTTAACGTTTCCCTGATATACTCTCTCAACAAAGCTTTAACAATATTCAAACACTATTGAGAAGAAAGTAAGAGGGTCATTAACAATCTGTGGGCTATCTATAAATAGGTCACCCTGTAATAATTTCTTGTTGCTATATGTCTATGCAAGTGATTTTTTTAAGCACCGACTTTTGTGCCATGGCGTAGGGTACAGGAGTTTTTTGTGCGCAAGGCTAATCCCAAGAAGAACATGCATGCGAGCACACACCTCCTGGTGCGAGAGGCCAGCGGCTGCAAGTTTGAGGCAGCGATCAAGTGGGATCTACCAGCAGTGGGCGTGGGTTGGCTGCTTGAGTCGGCTCGCAAGGGATGTCGCGCCAAGGAGCACAGGCACACTGTGCGGCTCGGTGAGGGCTCACGCGTGTACACACAGCCATTGGCATTCACTGGAAAGTTTCACTGCCCTGATTTTTTTGTTAGTTTTATTCCGATTGTGCTATTGGAATCATGTCATGAGATGATGTATCTATTCGGTTCTCTGACAGAGCAGTGGCAGCCATTTGGGTGAGTGGCCCACAAAAGTGGATTTCATCAAGCCAGCTACCTCTGAGATCAATTTAAATTACCTCTGTTCCACATAATAGGAGACAGCACTTTCCCACCTGCTCTGATGATACTGAAGTTATTTTCATGACGGTCAAGTTTTTAATCCTCTTTCTGAAATTTAGCAGCCAAACTTAATCTGATTGTTTTTTTGTTTGCAGTCATTGGTAACTGGCCTAAGTTACCACTGCCCTTGAAAACCCAGTTAATCACAGGCACCTTTCTGGATTCTAACCCAGGACTTAGCTTTCTGAGCCAATTGACCACCTGGATTTTCTTTATGAAACAAACTCAGCTCCTTATTAAATTTAATAAACTAGGCATGTGATGTCATTTTTATGGTTGTACGAGTCATGTTTCTAAAATACGCAAATGAATTGCTAACCAAGTTTTGTTTGTGGCTAATATTACCAAGTTTACGTGAATTGAAATTACAGTTATATATTGCAGTACAGTGAGGGAAAAAAGTATTTGATCCCCTGCTGATTTTGTACGTTTGCCCACTGACAAAGAAATGATCAGTCTATAATTTTAATGGTAGGTTTATTTGAACAGTGAGAGACAGAATAACAACAAAAAAGTCCAGAAAAAACGCATGTCAAAAATGTTATAAATTGATTTGCATTTTAATGAGGGAAATAAGTATTTGACCACTCTGCAAAACATGACTTAGTACTTGGTGGCAAAACCTTTGTTGGCAATCACAGAGGTCAGACGTTTCTTGTAATTGGCCACCAGGTTTGCACACATCTCAGGAGGGATTTTGTCCCACTCCTCTTTGCAGATCTTCTACAAGTCATTAAGGTTTCGAGGCTGACGTTTGGCAACTCGAACCTTCAGCTCCCTCCACAGATTTTCTATGGGATTAAGGTCTGGAGACTGGCTAGGCCACTCCAGGACCTTAATGTGCTTCTTCTTGAGCCACTCCTTTGTTGCCTTGGCCGTGTCTTTTGGGTCATTGTCATGCTGGATACCCATCCACGACCCATTTTCAATGCCCTGGCTGAGGGAAGGAGGTTCTCACCCAAGATTTGACGGTACATGGCCCCATCCATCGTCCCTTTGATGCGGTGAAGTTGTCCTGTCCCCTTAGCAGAAAAACACCCCCAAAGCATAATGTTTCCACCTCCATGTTTGACGGTGGGGATGGTGTTCTTGGGGTCATAGGCAGCATTCCTCCTCCTCTAAACACGGCGAGTTGAGTTGATGCCAAAGAGCTCCATTTTTGTCTCATCTGACCACAACACTTTCACCCAGTTGTCCTCTGAATCATTCAGATGTTCATTGGCAAACTTCAGACGGGCATGTATATGTGCTTTCTTGAGCAGGGGGACCTTGCGGGCGCTGCAGGATTTCAGTCCTTCACGGCGTAGTGTGTTACCAATTGTTTTCTTGGTGACTATGGTCCCAGCTGCCTTGAGATCATTGACAAGATCCTCCCGTGTAGTTCTGGGCTGATTCCTCACCATTCTCATGATCATTGCAACTCCACGAGGTGAGATCTTGCATGGAGCCCCAGGCCGAGGGAGATTGACAATTCTTTTGTGTTTCTTCCATTTGCAAATAATCACACCGACTATTGTCACCTTCTCACCAAGCTGCTTGGCAATGGTCTTGTAGCCCATTCCAACCTTGTGTAGGTCTACAATCTTGTCCCTGACATCCTTGGAGAGCTCTTCAGTCTGGGCCATGGTGGAGAGTTTGGAATCTGATTGATTGATTGCTTCTGTGGACAGGTGTCTTTTATACAGGTAACAAGCTGAGATTAGGAGCACTCCCTTTAAGAGTGTGCTCCTAATCTCAGCTCATTACCTGTGTAAAAGACACCTGGGAGCTAGAAATCTTTCTGATTGAGAGGAGGTCAAATACTTATTTCCCTCATTAAAATGCAAATCAATTTATAACATTTTTGACATGCGTTTTTCTGAATTTTCTTGTTGTTATTCTGTCTCTCACTGTTCAAATAAGCCTACCATTAAAATTATAGACTGATCATTTCTTTGTCAGTGGCCAAACGTACAAAATCAGCAGGGGATCACATACTTTTTTTCCCTCACTGTAGTTAATTTGATACAAGGCATTTTTTGCCATTGTATGGCAGGAAAAAAAATACCAAAGTGTCTTCTATTTTCTGACAGAAACAAGAGACAACGGTTTCTGTTTGCACATTTAAAGTGTTTTAAACATTCAATGATGACTAATTATTTGCCTCTTTACGTGTATATTTCTTATGTATATATATGTTCACACAGCCCAAACCACAGAGCCTGGTACGCCAGTCAGTGCTGGCCAGAGCCGTGAACAGGAGATGCCCAATGCTGCACCGGTGGTAGACGCAGCACACACACCCACAGATTCATCGCTCGCACTGGAGTCCAAGTTTGTGACGCCACTGGACTTTAATCGTTTTCGAAGCAAAACTTTCCACAACGTACTAGCAGCGGAGAGGGATGGCACAGCATCATCTGAGGTAAATCATTTTGATTTCTCAGAATAAACAATGTTCTTTACAAATGTCAGATAATGTTAAAAATTCTCTAAGCTCGTACAACATTTTTTTTTATATCAAATGTTTTTACGTAAGTTAAATCTGTATTATGCTTTGTTTTCCTGTCCAAATTTTATATTTTCTAGCATCTAGGGTAATGTTATCTACACTTTTAAAATGTATTGATGGGCCACACGCTGGCGAAAACCCTGCACCCGTATCTACGTCTGGCATAGACACCAAGAAAATAGCTATTCTCACACATTATGGTCGGTCGCCGTCGTCGCGAAATTTTACATTTATATCCGTGTGAGTAAACAGGTGCAATTATTGGGCGGTAAGCATGTTGGCAGCCTCATCATGTGTGAATGCATGCGTACATGCACATGTCCATTTGTGCTGTCAAGGCAGCGGCCGCGATGGATCCGAAGGTGGGTGCAGTTGTCGGCAAGGCTGCCTCAGATAAGGACACTGCTCGGAAAGTGGCAGGCGGTGGCAGTGGGTCAGAGGCTCCCCAGGACACACCCTCCAAATTCCTCTGTCGAGACAAACTCATCAAGCCCTGCTTTGATGTGAAGGTACAAATGGATGGGTGTGTATGCATTCACCGGGGAAACATCTGCTCAATAAATTAGAGACATTCTATATTGTGCCAACAGACGTAACATGGCATTATGTTTACTTACCTATATATGACCCGACAAGTAGTTGTAACTAAATTTGTGGCGTGTGTGATAAACATTGTGATGATAAATGCATACAATGCATTTTTTACATTCACTATTGCTTAATTATGTTTATATATGTTTTCGTATAAAACTAGCCTTAAAATTATATTCATATCCTTACAATCTGAGGCAGCAGACATTATATGCCTTTTACATAATGTTCCATGAGAGCCGGTTCATCTTTGGCATGGATATGAATTGAGTAGTTACTTAAATCCATGAGAGGTTCATAGACTTAGATGCACATACAAACATTTGGAGAAGATTCCAAACTGGAGTGTTAACAAATTACCCAGTGTAATGAGAAACAGAAAGCTATGTTTCAACATTCTGTAACTCTGGCTGGACTAGGATGCTGGTAACGCGTTTAAACTCATCTGGGGGTTTTCATTTTTTTAAATCACCAAACTCACTTACACCTCCATTTTACAACCATTCAGTTGCATCATCTATTGGCTTGCTGTAAAGTCTGACTAGCTGCTAAAACAAAATCAATAAAATAAAACAATATCGTAAATATGAGTCCTATATACTCTATAAACCATATCTTAAACATTTAATGCACTTCGTGTGTTTATAATGCTAGATATATGTACTTACAGTTTGTATTGCTGCACTTTACCCATCCTTGAGGTTTGTTGATGCCGTGCGAGAAATAAAACAAAAACCGGGGGGACAGTAAGAAATACAAAAGGAACATGCTAGACACAGAAAGCAAGAGAGGTAGGGCAATAGAGAGGATGGGTTACACACAGCTGCAGGATGCACGGCTATGTGCAGTGCATGCACTGCAGCCTCGTGCTGTAGGTGGTAGTGGAGGCTAACTCGAATTATTTAAATATTTCGCCATCATTGGTTCGGCTAAATGTGAAATGTTTCTAGTCAAGGCCTGGCAAGCCAGGGTTTACAGTGTTAATAAAAACATGGATGGCAAAGGAGGAGGTGGGTGGTGGGATGGTCCAGTGGACAATTACTGATAAGATGCTCTCTTAGCTTTATCACAATTAATATTCAAGGACACTTGCAATTAGAGCCTAGATATGGCAATGTAATTTTTGGGGCTTTAATGCAGGGTCTGATGGATGTAGTTTGTGGCTCCCATCAGGACTCGCTCAAGGCCTTGGAGTCACCTGAGGGCGGGCAGGGTGCAGCTGACCGCTCGGCCAGCGGCACACCCCTGTCTCAGCTCTTCCGCAACAACCTCAACGTGGCCCTGGCCAACAGCACCCGGCCCGTAGACCCCGCCAGCCCCGTGTTGCCCAAGGCCGTGCAACGTGAGCAGGTATAAATTTTGATTTAAAGCTTTCGTGACTGCAGCAATTCATATTCTTAGCTCTTTCGGTAAAGTCACGTTGAAGGGAAACAATAAAATAATAAAATATATATAAAAACAAAAAAATTCTCACGACGTTTAGACCATAACACAAACGGTCGTCATCAGGTGTGTCGGTTTGCATAAATTTATTTTTAAACGGTGTATTTATTTATTTATAAAACGTCAGCGCCACGCGCAGCGATTTGTCAGTTTATTTAGAAGGACTAGGCCATCTATGTTCTGAAAAGAGGAGGGGGGAGACGGAAAATTAATGTATGCTGTCTGAAAGCCACTGTAAGCGTGAACAATCAATTAAGACCTGAAATGGTTTATCAAATCTTTCCAATGATTGCTAAGCCAGAATCCATCTTCTCGGTTGAAATTGTCTCTGTGCTTGTATATGTGTATAGCCTCATGAACGAATCTCTCATGGTAGCCAGATGGCTTACAAAGAACCTCTGTCTTGGAAAAGTCAATGTCATGTGAGCCTATTGAATTATAACAATGATCTGCCACGGCCGAGGTGTTGGTCCTACCGTGTTTAAGGTCTGCTTTGTGTTCACGAATGCGGTCCGAGACATGGCGTTTGGTTTCTCCAATGTAACTACTACCACAGAGGCAACTTAGTTTGTAGACACCAGGGTACTGTATGTCCGGAATCACATCTTTTACAGATGTGTAGTGTTGTAAGGACGAGCAGACTTCTTTAGGAGGCACACTCTGTTTATTGTATTATTTCCTTATACAACGCTTAACACACACAGAGGGATATTCGGTCCCCTCACCCAATACCCTAGGGAGGTACAGCCTCCGGACCTGGCGGGACTCACACATCTACCGCTAACCTCCTTGATACCTAAGGAGGCACAACCTCTGGACCTGGCGGGACTCACACGTCTACCGCTATCCTAGTCCTCCGGCTAGGACCTAGGGGAGGCTATCTGACCCACCGCTGGCCCGGTGGGTCCTGATCACTGGGTATGCCGAGCCTTAGCCCTTAGAAGGGCTGGGAGGCTGGTCCAGGGTCCTAGCTAGGCTTCAGCCCAGTCTTCTATCTTCGTGCAGGGAGAGAACTCCCCGAGGTCCGTTGGGTCACCTGTCTTATACTCCTTCGTGGCCAGGTAGAACCAATCATACATTCCCACGTGGAACCGTCTGATTGGTTCGTACCAAACCCTGGCCACGATTCGTTTCACCTCGACTGACCCCAACCGTTGTACCCAGGGGTAATGCTGCACTGCCCTGGTGGCAATGCAGGTTACACAACAGCACGTAGTTAACACCTCTACAGATGGAACCAGATCACGGATTTTATGTAATGTGTTGAAACGGACCTGGATCTTGTGTTTATTCAAGATTTTGGAGATCTTTTTTGTGATCCCCGCAATGTAGGGTAAAGTGGTGGTTTTGAAAGGCTCCTCAAGAGGGTCCTTCTTCATGGTTTGAGTGATAGCTTTGCGGATTGTATAGTCGGAGTAACCATTAGCCTTAAGAGCTTGGTGTACGTGCTTGAGTTCACTGCCTATGTGTTCCTGTTCGGATATGCATTGGGCTCTATGATACAGAGTCTTGATGAGAGAATTCTTCTGTGATGGATGGTGGTGGGAATCCGGTTTCAGATAAGCATCCGTATGGGTAGCTTTCCTGTAGACAGAGTGGCTCATTGAACCATCAGGTCTCTTTTTAATTAGGACATCCAAAAAAGGTAGCTTGCCATCTTTTTCGACTTCCATGGTAAATCTGATGGCTGGGTGTATGGAATTGATGTGGTCGAAGAATTGATCTAGAGCAGGCCGGCCATGTGGCCAGATGACAAAAGTGTCATCCACGTACCTCTTCCATAAGGTTGGGCGCAGAGTGGCAGTCTGGATGGCGTCAGTCTCAAATTTCTCCATGAAAATGTTAGCTATAACCGGAGATAGGGGGGAGCCCATTGGGGTGCCCTCAGTTTGTTTGTAGAAAGTTCCATTCCAAGTGAAGTATGTATTGGTTAAACAGTGTCTCACCAGGGGGGGTACCTCAGTGTTTAGTCCTTGATGAACCAAGTCTTCAATGATTGCGATGATGTCAGGTACAGGAACCTTGGTGAATAAGGAAATTACATCAAAACTGACAAGCAGGTCGTCTGCGGTACAAAATTCTACTCACCTGGTATCGACAATCAAGGGTATTTCCCTGTCCCCAGACGACCTGCTTGTCAGTTTTGATGTAGTTTCCTTATTCACCAAGGTTCCTGTACCTGACACCATCGCAATCATTGAAGACTTGGTTCATCAAGGACTAAACACTGAGGTACCCCCCCTGGTGAGACACTGTTTAACCAATACATACTTCACTTGGAATGGAACTTTCTACAAACAAACTGAGGGCACCCCAATGGGCTCCCCCCTATCTCCGGTTATAGCTAACATTTTCATGGAGAAATTTGAGACTGACGCCATCCAGACTGCCACTCTGCGCCCAACCTTATGGAAGAGGTACGTGGATGACACTTTTGTCATCTGGCCACATGGCCGGCCTGCTCTAGACCAATTCTTCGACCACATCAATTCCATACACCCAGCCATCAGATTTACCATGGAAGTCGAAAAAGATGGCAAGCTACCTTTTTTGGATGTCCTAATTAAAAAGAGACCTGATGGTTCAATGAGCCACTTATCATAGAGCCCAATGCATATCCGACCAGGAACACATAGGCAGTGAACTCAAGCACGTACACCAAGCTCTTAAGGCTAATGGTTACTCTGACTATACAATCCGCAAAGCTATCACTCAAACCATGAAGAAGGACCCTCTTGAGGAGCCTTTCAAAACCATCACTTTACCCTACATTGCGGGGATCACAAAAAAGATCTCCAAAATCTTGAATAAACACAAGATCCAGGTCCGTTTCAACACATTACATAAAATCCGTGATCTGGTTCCGTCTGTAAAAGATGTGATTCCGGACATACAGTACCCTGGTGTCTACAAACTAAGTTGCCTCTGTGGTAGTAGTTACATTGGAGAAACCAATCGCCATGTCTCGGACCGCATTCGTGAACACAAAGCAGACCTTAAACACGGTAGGACCAACACCTCAGCCGTGGCAGATCATTGTTATAATTCAGTAGGCTCACATGACATTGACTTTTCCAAGACAGAGGTTCTTTGTAAGCCATCTGGCTACCATGAGAGATTCGTTCATGACGCTATCCACATATAGAAGCACAGAGACAATTTCAACCGAGAAGATGGATTCTGGCTTAGCAATCATTGGAAAGATTTGATAAACCATTTCAGGTCTTAATTGATTGTTCACGCTTACAGTGGCTTTCAGACAGCATACATTAATTTTTCGTCTCCCCCCTCCTCTTTTCAGAACATAGATGGCCTAGTCCTTCTAAATAAACTGACAAATCGCTGCGCGTGGCGCTGACGTTTTTTAAATAAATAAATAAACCGCTTACAAATAATTACTTTTATGCAATCCGGCACACCTGATGACGACCGTTTGTGTTATGGTCGAAACGTCGTGAGAATTTTTTTTGTTTTTTATATATATTTTATTATTTTATTGTTTCCCTTCAACGTGACTTTACCGAAAGAGCTAAGAAAATGTGAGCAGGTATGTTATATTTTTTTCTTTTATCATCATGGTTGCTCAGCACAGGACCAAAGGCCTAAGTATAGTTTTTAACCACTGAATCGATTGCATGTTACATACCTAGATCCAAGAGAGGGTTCCATTGGATAATGTGGTGACCTAATAAAATGCGGATAATTTTAGGTGGAACAGTGGTTTATTTAACACAGGGGCTGTTTTTAATATTTTAATTCAAAAAAGAACTCGTGGCATGTTTTTACATTGTTTATACACCTCAATGGCCCCATTTAATAAACATCCTATTATAAAGTGTAGACGCTTGCATGTATTGAGTTTTATAAATGAGGTAAACATACTTAGTTTAATTTTGATTTAAAGTTTTCGTGACTGCAGGGATTCATATTCTTGGTTATTTCGGTAAAGTCAAGAATATACTTAGTTTAAGTTTGAGCATTCCAAGTATTTCAATGTGAATGGCTGTGGCATAAGGAGTTATCTGCGGGCTTGTGGTTTACATTGCAGTGTCTGAGGATAACCACTTTTACGTAAAATAATATGTTGGGTAACATTTTAAAATACACGAATATATTAAATTTTAAACTTTACTTCATATCTTTTCTCATTTTCTATTTTTGAACAAGCTGTGCTTTGCATGTAGCAACTCCTGCCTCGCAATACAATTGCCGAAATTCAAGTTTGCCGTGTGAGCCTGCAGCTCATTTGTAAGCCTATATCGCTGTCGATTGCGCGTAGTCACGCTTAGCTTAAATAGCTGTCATTTATTTCCACTATTGATGTGAATGAGTTTTTAGCTATTTACGTCTTATACTTGAGGTGACCATACCAACAGTAGCGCATTCACCGCTTGTGTTCCGGCATTACGGTAAAAATTAGCCTAGTTTGAAAATGTTACCTGAAAATTACTCAATTGGAATATACATAGCAAGCATCATCCCCCACTAAAAAAACTTAGCAGGGCCCTGCTGGAAAAGAGTCTTGAGGCTCTGTGAGGCTTTATTTTCTTTGGGTAAGCAAACAAAAATAATACAATGCAAATAGGTGACATGATGTCAAAACCACTTTTCTTATATACTTTTAAAGTGATGGTAAACCCCTTGAAGCTTTTAATCAAATATTTAGATGATTGAATTAGTTGAAACTGTTTTATACCGAATTTATAAGTACCACAAATGAACATTTTATTCTTTTAAGTTTCATTTATTAGGTATAGCCCTGTGAGCCATGCGGCTCTTGAGTCTGGTGCAACCGCAACAAACAATATGAACAGAGATCATCTTAAAGCGATGACGCACAACAGAAACATCCTTGATAAACCAGCAAATCTTCCACAAAAAAAACACCGTGTGACAGTGCTGTGTGCAAAAATCTCAGTGTGATGCAAGTCAAACAATAACATCCATAAGACAATTTAGATTAAAGTTATCAGGCCAACTCCGCACTTCCGCAAGAAACATGGCTTGACCATATGTTTTCGAAATCACCAAAATAAAGCTATAAAAACAATGTAACAACAGTAACCATAGGAACTGTGATTCAAATTCTTAATTAAATGCATCTAAAAAGAGTATTTTAAATACACCCTAAAATGAGCAAACCATAGTATGTACACTTTATAGACAAGTAAATACCTGTATACATCATTGTAGAATTTCAGGCTAATAAATCAAGAATGCACGGAGTGTTATGTAGTGTTCTCCCTCTGGGCAAGTGTGCTGTTCATCGTGTGCTTGCCTACCCTAATTGGTTTTGGAAAAGTCCTTCTGTTTTCTATATCTTTGCTTTTAACTGTGGGCTTTCCTCCCCACAATACCATCCCTCCTCCCCTTTCAGACACACCACACACTTTCTCAAAAAACACTTAACTGGCAGTGTGGGAAAGCCAATGTGTCACCTTTTTGGCTCCCGATGCAAGGGTTTGCCATCTTTATAAGGTCATTCTGCACACAATTGCATGTGGTCATTGCATTTGTTTCCCACAATACTACTCCAATGCCAATTTACAAGTTGCAGCATTTCTAAATGTAGAGCGTCATCTACAACTCTAAAGCACAAAACAACGTGGTTATTGCACTGTATTCACTTTAATCCTTTGCTGATCGCTAAACAAGCCCCTCTTTACAGTATGTACCTTTGTTTACAGCAGTATTTGTTATCATCAGGTTGGATGATGGGATGCTGATTCATGTTTGTTATTTCAAGCTTGGAGATTTGCATCATTGACCATAATGCACTGTGCAGTGTAAAACTTTCTAAAATGTTCGTAAACCTTACTATCTGAAACATTTTTGGTGGCTAGGTGTGCACTGCATAGCCTCTAGCAGCATGATTCATTGCCCTATGCAGCTTTGCTAGAACCTCCAATGGCTTAGCATGGTGCACATCACCCCACCTGCATGCCGCACCCACCCTACCATAGTTTCCCACATTAAAAACGCCCCCCCCCCCCTCAATGGCCCCCTTCTCCTCAAAACCCCTCCCGTCAATCTCTGTGGTTTTGAGTCACAGCACTGTACCGCCTGCTTCCCACCGCACACCTCTGTACTTCCCCCCCCTCACCTGCTATCCCTCCACCCACCAGAACCGACATGAGACAGAAGCAAGACCAGGCTGGAAAATTGCCTGTTTTTCTGTTGTCAAGCCCTGAGGCCCATCATAACAGTGGTTTGGGCATCGGTGGAAATACCCGGTTGCATAGCAGGTTGTAGCAGGCTCTCTCGAACTACAGAAAGCGATTAAAGAAAAATATTAGGATGTTTCCAGCTTGTAGGTGTATGCTATCATTTGTGGTGCAATGCTGTCTTCTGTATTTCTGACAACATTTGCATATCTTAATTTCTAAGTCGTGCACCCTTTTATTTAGTTTCTCACAATGCCATTGTTTTCATATACTGGTAACCACACTTTCACTACAATTTCTGAATTGGTCAGCACGTTATGTTCACTAGCCCCATCGTAATTTTTTTTGCGGTCAAAAATGTAGCATTTTTAAACATCATTCAGTAATTGCACCTACCGTTTAAATATCCAATAAAGGGAGGCACCCTTGTGTAACTGCAAGATACACACGTCCAATGTTTTGTAGACGAAATATTAAAGGTGTACATAGATGCCTCTAAAATGAAGGGTTGGGGCATAAGGGGTTTTTAAAGGGGTTGCGGGTCTTAAAGGTGCTTATCGCAGCATGGCTGATGGCCTTGCATCTCATTGTGTAATGAGCTTTCGAGGAGCCACCCAATGCAGATGGGAGCGGTGCCCTCCATGAGAGCCATGGTGGCTTCATAGATTAGTAGCCACATGCTAGCGAGGGATCTGAAGGGTGGCCCACCTGATTTGCACCAGCTAAGTTTATTAGCCATCGCAAGGCTGCCTCCACTGAGGCAACCTATACAAACAGCCTTCGGGAGGGGCGTGCTCTCCTCTGTTTGGTCGACTGTAGGTGTTGTCAGGCCATACACAGATGGATGTATGTATGCCTTGGCAGCCCCGACGAGGTTCCCTCCTTCTCGGAAACATGGCTATACTGTAGTTGGGGTTTATATTTCCTCTGCACATATTTGTCCGGCTAGCTGAGGCTTTACTGTATACATATAAAAACAATCATATACCCAACAATAATATCTGTCACATTTATGAACATTGGCATCCCTAATGTGCTAAACTATGCACTTGTTTCTTTAAAATGAGCTTGGTTATAGGTGATTGATGCATTGATGCTTAAACTGCAAAATATTATTTGTGCTTGGAACGAATGGGAGTATGGTGTTGTAATCCACTGCCTGCTTTATACACGATTGTCATTTGAGCTCGCTTTGAAGAAATGTTTACGTGTGATTTTCAGAATTTGAGATGCCTGGACATGAAGTGTTTACTTTAAGTTTTGGCAGTTTGTATAGACATAACTGTAAATTATATACAGGTTTGTCTGGTTTATACCTCTTAAAATGTAGTGCTTGGTCTTTTATGGTATTAAAGGTACACTTCCAACACGTTAATTTTCATGAAACTGTTTAATAGAATTAGTAATTCATGAAAATCAATGTTGTGCACACCATACTTTCGTTTTGTAACTTTAGCTTTTTGTTAGGTGTTTTTCTTTTAATGCCTATTTTTGCTGTAAAAAAATTGTCATTCAAAGCATGCAATGGTTTAAATGAGTACTACTTTTGTTTATTTCTCCAGAAAGAAACCACAAGCATTTTATCAGGAGTGGTGATATGCGTGAGCAAGAAGCTTAGCAAGAGACAGGCAGAGCTGAACAGCATCGCTGCCTCGCTGGGAGCGGAGTATCGGTGCGCGCATCTACGTGCCATAGACACGCGTACTAGTCGCATGCACCCATGGACCTGTATATTTTATTCGTAGATTACACGGAAAAGTCTGCTTGCAATTACTTTGTGCTTGGGTTAAGAGGTGTGGACTTGAAGGTGAGGAATTTATCTTTGTGGATGGTCCCGAGCATTGATGATTAACTTCAGCAAAGTACACAATCTTTCAAATAACACCCACTGTCTATATGGGCGCTATGTAACCTACTATGATCAATTCGCACATCAATGCTCTCAATATAAACAGACCTTGGAAGCTAAGCAGGAGTGAGCTTGCATAGTGCTGGGATATGTGACCACCGCATACAGCAGGTGTTTATGGGCTGCTGAGAACAGTGCAGTAAAATTCATTGTACTATACTATGCTTCAACATGTATGCTGCTCACATTCACCAACCTGCACTGACCAGTGTGGTGAAATATGGTCATGTAACCTCACGACTTATGCAGCATGTGGAGGATTGAGAAGAGAACTGTACATATACATATAAACCAAATTGCATTGGGCAGATTTTGTCCATATGCTGAAACTTCAACGTAAGCAAGACCTTGGCTGAGCTGCACTCTGAAAGGCTGTGATCTCTGAAAGGCAGAGTAATCCTATAAACCTCTCGGTTCCAGAAAGTTAGTGACAGCTCCCTCTAGGGAGTTGAACTAGTCAAAGTGAGGTTGTTCGTAACCTCCAAGGTGTTTGGGCTCTGTTTAAAATTTATATTGATGGGCACGTTGGTTGAGCGACCTCTAAATTCCTACTATAGTGCATCTTTCTCCACCCTTGCCATAAATGTGTTTTTGTTAATATGGGTTCTCAGATGTCAGGGGCGTTAGTATTAAACACATTCATGTTGTGGGTGTTTCAATGCATTCCAAGCAATGAGTGGTAGGCTTAAAATGAGCTATCCAAGGTTTCAATAAACGCTCTTGAACAATTGATTTGGTATTTTAAATTTGCATGACAAGCCCCAATGCCCAATCGGTACATTTGTCTTGCGTTTGTTCATTAAGGTGCACCTATCTTAGGGGTGCTTGAGAAATAATTATGGTACCTATCATCACTGCTTATATCATGACAGCAAAGTACATAACTAAAATAATTGAATTCACAAGTGTCTTACTGAGACAGACCAACTAAAAGTCTGCAATTGGGGGTCTTGCTAAATCAATACAGCTTATAAATTGTTGCTCCGTAATGCAAACATTCTTGTTGCAAATATAATTTAAATTAAATGGACGTTTATTGCTGAATAGCCATGTCTGGTAGCAAGCCTATGGGCACAGCAGGTACTCACGACCAAAAGGTAAAACATCTAGGCCGCCTCACAAAGTGGCGATGTTTGTGTGCACATTAACAATATTTCATGTAATGTGTTACCCACCTCCAGGTGGAGCTTTGATGAGGAAGTGACGCATTTCGTCTATCAGGGCCGAGCTAACGACAACTCGCAGGAGTACCGTGTCGTGCGTGATCGTGGCATCCACGTCGTGTCCGAGCACTGGCTACACGCTGTACGTTCCTACAATACTGACACGACAAAACACAGCAACGCCTATGTTACCTTTCCCGCATACAAGGCAACATTCTCATTTTAAAATGGCTGAAACGTCACCTTGGATTTTCTCCTTTGTATTTCTAGCTTGTTTTCAACAGCATTCACCAGCACATACATTTAACAGAATACATTTGAGCACCATTATTAGCATCGGTCATGGTTAGTAAAAAAAAAATACTTTCAGTTTTTTTTTGTGAATATGATTTTCAAGGACCAACCTTTGCTGGGGATGTCATGTTCTAAATGACGTGAGCCGAAACTTGGTAGTGAGTACGCACTTCTGTAATTACGTGGCTGTCTGTGCTGTTTGTGTAGTGTGCTCAGGAGCAGAAGCACGTGGCTGAGACTCTGTACCCACACTCCTACAACCCCAGCCTGAGCCTGGACCTGAGTGCAGTGCAGCAGCCACAGCGTGTGACACGTACCTTGCGGCGGCATCCCGGCTCATGCGCTGTCAACAGCCAGGTGATGCCACCAGTCTAAATGTACTTACAGAGGCAGATTTCCTGACTGTCTATGACCAAATCACTTGTACTATCAGATCGCAAAAGCTAAGCAGGTTTAAACCTGGATAATCATTTAATGGACGATTACTATGCATGACTGGTTGTGATAGGCAGCAGGGCTATGTCGTGGGCAACAGTGTACAGTACAAAAACATCCTTTGTACTGTACTTATATGCTTCCACTTCGATGCACCCCACCTTCACAAACCAGCATGGTAAGATATAGTCAAGTAACCCCCATTACCAACATGGCATGGGGAAGCTCTCATCCAGCTGTGCATTGACAGGTAGCCTAATTAGTGTTCTCATTGAGCCTGTATCACCACTATTGTACAAGATCACCCATCCTGAATAGATATTTTCCTTGTGATGGCATAAATTGGATGAGTACGAAGGAGCTTTATGATGCGTTAATTGTGGGGTCCCCACCATTGACAGAAATACAGTTGCATTGTGATCACAGGTTCTGTATAAGCATAGTTTTTTTCAGCTTATTTATTTTGGTATAGCCCTGTGAGCCATTCTGCTCTTGAATCGGGTGCAACCACAACAAACAAAAAAACAAAAACACGAACAAGAAAACATCTTAAAGTGACTATGTGACTGCAAACAGAAAATCCATGAAAAAAAGCAGCAAAATATTCCTGAAAGAAGCACCATACACCAACGCTGTGTGCAAAAAATCCCAGTGGGATGCAAGTCAAACAACAACAACAATCACAAGAAAACTTATCATCATCAGTCTAACTCCGTACTACAACAAAACAAACATGTCCAAACCAAAAAACTTTTCGAAATCACCAAAAAATAAAGCCATAATTGCAACGTAACAGTGATCATAGGGACTGTGACCGAATTTTTACAATAAACTACATAAATAACATGTAACACCAAATCCTAGAGCCATAGTTGGCTGCATGAGTTACTCCACAACAACAGAAGCATCAGTCGGAGTTAAAGCTTGTGTGTGTGGTGCTTTGTTTTCGCCTTAGGACCTGGACACAGAAGAGGAGGATGAATATATAGCCCAGCATGGAAAACATTCCAACCAGCAATATGAGCAGAGTAAAGATACAATTATAGGAAAAAATGGTGAGTACAGTGGGGAAGAAAAAAAATACATATAAAAATGTGGTAAATAATTTTATTGGAATATTGTAAGTCCAATGTATTGTATTGATTAAAATTAGCTTCTTAAAAAGCCTTTGTAATGAGCACTCATCAGCATGTCATAATAGACCACATTGTGCCCTGGCAGATGCGCTGGCGACGCTGGAGTTGCGGGAGAACTTGCAGCAACAGCTCCAGGAGATCATGATGGCAACGAAGGCAGGAGCAATTGGCCCCAGCCGTCTGGGCACCAACTCCCCGCAGCCTCAGCAAGACACAAGCAGCGGGGCAATGCGCTCAGGACGGATCAGCCGCAGTCGAACCTGGGACAACGTGAGGTAAGTTGTTGGCTCCTCAATTCCTTCCCGCACATTTTGGATCCAGGGTTCTGGGCATGAATTGCACACGCTGTGAACCACGTGCTGTAAGATGAAGCACAACACAGCTGCAGAGTGAATCTTGGTTTCAACCGGCCACTTCACCGCATCACAGGCAGAGCCAAGCATAAAATGCCCAGCAAATTCACTTTATATGGTCTTTACTTGTGCACTTATTATGATCTTATGTTGAATCATGAAAAAGCTCCTGTTCCATTTGGCTACCAGCTTTCTTGACCCATTTGGCTGCGGTCAAGCTGTGGATGTTGGCAAACGATCACTGCTGGCTGAGCTGCCTCATTATTTGCGAGCTCAGCATGCTTTGCTTCCCCCTGGCGCACGCCGTAGGTCGTCTCCTGCACCTCTGGACACGCACTCTGAGCAGTCGCAGGGCGACCAGATCACGTGGGATGACCCCACGGCTCGGGAGGAGCGTGCCCGCCTAGCAACTCAGCTGCATTGTGGAGCCATGAACTCCACACCCGGCCCGACTTCTGGGCCGCCTCCTGACCCCATTCCTACATCCAGCACAGCCAAGCAGCAGCCTCCCCTTGTCCAGCCTGCGCTCGCGAACGGTACCCGCTGTTTTCTGCCAAAATTTTTTTATTCAGAAATGATTGTTTCTTGAATTGTGAAGCCAAGTTTTATTGTATTTTTTAGTGTATTGCTCAACACAGCACCATGATGTGAAGTATTAGACTACAAGTTAAAAAAGTAAGCACGTGGCAAACAGTAAAATGTCATGCTCATTGCTGTGAGATGTCTGTCTTAGATACATAAGCCATATGTTGTTTCTGAATGTTTGGATTAAAATCATAGTCATTAAGAATTATTTTAAAGTATTAAAGCTTTCGTGACTGCATAAAATTACTCATTGGTTTTTTCGGTAAAGTCACGTATGTAGAAATACAATAAAATTATATTAAAACAAAAAACAATCACGACGTTTCGATCACAACGCAAGCGATCTTTATCAGGTGTCAAGAACAAATCACGGAGGTAAATACAACAAAAAGATGAGAGACGAGAATTCAACAAACCTGAAAAAACATTATGTGAAGCACATCCAGTCAGGCCAACAACACAGTTAGACACTTCCTGGCGGACCACGAATTTCAGAAGAGTGTTAAATTTCGTGTTCAACCTTTGGATTGCACATACCAGCATAGATAGAATGAAAAATACGAGGTACACAGTCAGTAGAAATACATATACAAGTCCACCAAGAGGTAAGGAGGGAGGAAAGACGGACAGGGAGGCAGAGAGGGGGGGGGGGGCGGAGGGATGAACAGAAGCTTAAATAGGAAATACGGTTGGAGGGGGGGAGGGGCCAGAGCTAGAGCGGCAGCTCAAACACGCACATCTTACACATACAAAACGGCAGCTCAAAAAAGGACCACCTCTTGTAAATACAAAACGGCAGCTCAAAAAATGACCACCTCTTGTAAATACAAAACGGCAGCTCAAAAAGGGCACATCTTACACATAATTACAACGGTAACTTCCCCGTAGATGTGTGATAATAAAGTATTAAAGCTTTCGTGACTGCATAAAGTTACTCATTGTTTTTTTTTGTAAAATCACGACGTTTCGATCACAACGCAAGCGATCTTCATCAGGTGTCAAGAACAAATCACGGAGGTAAATACAACAAAAAGGTGAGAGACGAGAATTCAACAAACCTGAAAAAACATTATGTGAAGCACATCCAGTCAGGCCAACAACACAGACACTTCCTGTCCATGTAACGTGTATTTAAAAGTCCATTAATGAATTATAAACCAGTAAGAGCTCCTTGAGACCAAATTTTGGCAGGGGAAACTTGGACATAAATATGAATACAACAATGCCAGTAATAAATAGAAACACACTTTATATCAACAATAAATTGTAAATAAAACTATACATTTGCACAGTGAAATATTGTTTAAGGCAATGCAGGGAAAACAAAGCAAACTTTAAAGAAAGGTGAGCAGTCTGAATTCTTAATGCTCATTAAGTTCATGTTTGTGTGTGTGGGTAATGGACTCAGTGGAGAAGAGCAAGCAGGAGGTTCCTGAGCAGGCAGTGAAGCTGCCTGCCGGCCCGGACTCCACGCCACAGGCACCAAGCATCGCCTTCCCACTCGCAAACCCTCCTGTGGCGCCACAACCTCCAGAGACGGTGCCACACATGGCAGCTGCATAACAGAACTCTGTCTACGCTCACTTATATTTTTAGGGGATCAGTGGCACAGTGGTTAGTGCATTGTGGTATGAGCCTGGCGACCTGATTTTCATTTCCAAGCCAGTGGTGAGTGATATCTGAACCGGTCCTGTATCCACCCCTTCATCAACCTGCACTTACCAACGTGGTGAAGTATGGTTAATTAACCCACATTACCAACATGGCACGGGGATTCCTTAGTCGAGCAAAAGATTGACAGATTATTTATTACCTTACATTTAATATCTTGAAAAACGAATTCTCTACTCACATTGACCTCTGAATAATCTTTTATTTGACAATCATATTTTTAATATAATGTAGATTTGAATTATGTAAAGCATAAAAGCAGTTCATTTACCACATGTATGGTTTTGTGCTGTTGGTAAAATACAGAAAGGTGTGTGTAATGCTCACAACTTTTTTTCCCCGTTTCATGACAGGAGAGTGGTGGGCATGAGGGTGATGCCATTCAGCCCCATCGTTACTTCCAGCTTTCTTCCATGAGTGCCCAGGAGCGCATTGACTACTTGCAGCTCATAGAGCAGCTTGGTAAGACTGCACCTGAGTGTCAATTCTGCTAGAATTGTCAGGTCTATTTACATGTGTATATTTAAGGCACTGTTGTGTAGAAGGCCAACAATGTTGGATATGGCTGGGGTGACTACACAGCACAACGTTTGTATCGTACTTTGAATAGTTTATTGCAATTGGGAACATGTTCACTCAAATATCTGTCAAAGTACAGGACCTCGGTAAATTAAGGTCAAAGCAATTACTTGTGGCTATATCCCCATGGAAAAATGGCTACATTTCCTAGAAGTTATATTTTTATTAATTTCATTGAAATGTAAGCCAGTTGCATTTCATGGAAATGATTATGCTGTCATCTAAATCCCATGTCTGTGCATTCAATGAAACTAAAAGTGGAATGGTTAGGTAGCGAACCTATTACATCAATATTACTTTGCAAATGTTGGCTTCATCACTCTTCACTGGATTTAAATACTCAATACAAGTATAGGTCCCCCTTCCCTTCTAGCCGTCTTGAAGGCATTGACACATAGCAAATGTATCATTATCACATTACAAGCTTGGAATTTAAACGTATGTTCCAGCCTGTACTTAAGTTGTTGCCGTGGAGACTGAGATCATTGATCATTGTTCAGTCGCCTGGTTGTTGATGGCATTATTCGTAATTTCTCACTTAACAGAGTGGACTGCGTGATGGCTTCCATCTTTCAAGCCTGTACTAAAAAAGGAATTCGGAGAAGAAAAGCTACAATTGCATTATGTTTATTTTCTAAATAAATAAGACTAAAACATAAGTTTAAATACCAAGCTTGTACTGTGCACTTGGCTTATGTGTACACTGTGCTTTCTGCTTTCATCTCTGCTGTTATTGAATTTGTCCTTTACATTTTTTTTAAATGCCATAGCATAAAAAATTAGTGTTATAGCAATACTGTTTAAAGTTGTTGCAATCATTGACAGATCATTGACAGATCTTTTGAAGAATTGCTTTGAGCATTAATATATTTTGTCGAAGAATGTATCACTTGCTGCTGGTAAAAACTTCATAACCTCTCCCCCTTCTCGTGTGGAAGGTGGAGTGGTGCTGGATAAGCAGTACTTCGACCCAAGCTGCAGCCATATCATCGTAGGAAACCCTCTGCGCAATGAGAAGTACCTGGCGTCAATGGCAGCTGGGAAGTGGGTGCTACACAAATCCTACTTGGAAGCGTGCCGAGCCATGGGCCGCTTTGTGCAGGTGTGCAGTTGTGGATGGGAGGGAGGGCGGTGAGGTGGGCAGGTGTGCATGGGAGGGTAGCAAGATGGGCAGGCGTGGGTGGGAGTTAGGAGAGGTAAGTAGGTTTGGCTGGAAAGGAGACAAAGTGGAGGGTGTGGTTGGGTGGGCATTGAGGTGGGTGTGTATGGGTGGGAGGCAAGATGGGCAGATTTGGATGGAAGGGAGATGAGGTGGGTAGGTGTTGGGTGGGAGGGAGGTGAGGTGCAGGTTTGTGTGGGAAGAAGTTGTGTGGGTGTTAGTGGGAAGGAAGGAGGTGAGGGAGTCTGGGTGGGAAGGTGAGGTGTGTAGGTGTGGGAGGGTGAGCAGATTTGCGTGGGAAGGAGTTTTGTGAGTGTTGGTGGGAAGGAAGGAGGTGAGGGTGTCAGTGGGTGGAAAGGAGGTAAGGTGGTGGGGGGGAGTAGCAGGAAAATGAGTGGGTATTCTGATTGCCACAGCCCACTCATGTCATGTAATCGCACCCTTGTGCTATCGGACTTGGTCATTATTCAAGCTTGGCAGGTCCTTCGCCAACACTGAATTAGTAAGGAAGTTATTTTTTCCAAGCACTTGAGAGCTATGTGTGTGAGGGTTATGTGGACAACAATATGTTCATATTCACAGAAAATGTTCATGTCTGGCATTTCCCTTCATGTGCGCAAAGCAACAGCAAGCATGGACGAGAGCCAACATACATCCTTTATATAAGTGGGGCCTGTCCCTCGGTAGTACAATTTCCAGTGTGGTTTGGTATGTAAATACGACAAGGTGAATTGAAATTGTCTTTTATTTTCATTGGAGAATGGCTAAGCAGAATGTGGCTACTGCTCTACTGATTGCTCCTTACCAATGAATTGACAAATATGTATTACTTAAGAATTGTGCTCTCTCCGATTTGAATGCCGATAATTATCTGAATTGAGTCTGCTTTGTTAGGCCCTGCACCATGGCAGCTCCACAATTGATAAACATTGACCAAATTGTGGTGGGTGATGCGATGTGCCGTGGAGCAGGAGGAGGAGTATGAGTGGGGTAGCAGCCACATCCTGGATGCCCTAGCCAACCTCACCACCCAGCAGCGCCGCCTCGCTACAGCTGCCATGCGTTGGCGTAAAAAGCTACAACTTCAGCGACGGCAGGAGCCTGGAGCCCAGGTGCTGCAACCGCAACCACCATGGCTTCTACGGCCACCACTGATCACAAACACAACCGTCACCACCAAGATGATCACACTACCAAAATTGCCATGGTCATAGCCACCACTACTACTACCACCACGATCTTGACAACAATCACCAGAGCCATCACTACCACCACCTTGACTCAAACCACTACTACTTCAACCATGATTGTAACCGTCACGTCCTAACCACCAACACTACAACCACCACCGTCATCTCCTTCATTACCTGTCTGTGAAAAATTATTGCCACTACCATTGGATCTAGGAAGCAGCCTAGATCTTGCATTGCTTATGCAGAGTAATAAAAATACAACAGGGTGCACAAAACTTCATTGCTGTCCAAGCTGAATTGAAATGTTATGTTGCTCTGATGTGCATTATGTATGGTTATCCTATACTTTCCATTTTGTAGAGTACAGTATTGCATATTATTTGTCATCTTAGTTTTGCCCTTCGAGAGGTCTTTAATAAAAGTGTCATTGTCACCTCATGACTGCTCTTGGCATGTAAAATACCATTCCACTTGCATTTCTGTAAAATGCATTCCTGTGTGGGCTGCTTTATTAGTTGTTTTGTTTGGCCATAAATAACACTACATTCACAAAGCCATGCATTGATTGATCATGATTTGGCACATCAATTGATACTAGATGAAACATGCCACTGTGTGTTGTAGGTCGGTGCGTTCGGTGGCTGGAAGGTGATCCTGAATATTGAACAGAGCAAAGAGTCAGGCTTCAGGAGGCTACTGCAGTCGGGAGGCGCAGAGGTATGAAACCGTGAACTTTATGCATTGAATCCAAACAGCCTTGTCAAAGCAAAGTATGTTGAATTATTCCATGCAATTGCATGTTTATCAAAGCGGTGATTAAATAAAGCCTTACATCCTGAAGCAATATGTTGATAACCAAGGATTGGTGGACACCGCTCTATGCCGAGGCACAGTGGAGACGGCAACAATAAAAATATATTATTAAAAAGTGGCATCCGAGTAGAAGTCCCTGATCATATCACCTGTAATGCACCTGAGATTATCAGATCTCAGAAGCAAAGCAGGGTTGTGCCAGGATAGTGCTTGGATGCATGACCACCATTCACAGCAAGTTGCTCTCTGGCAGTGCATAAACATCATCCTTTAATACAAGTAATTTAGTACATTTGGTATTCCTGCCATTACAGTACAAACCTATCAGGAAGGTGATATATTTACACATAGACTGCAGTAGTTTACAGGAGGAGGTGATGTTGCTTTGTATAATCTGAATTGAGTAATTTGCAGCTAATTTTCCATTTGGCAAAGTTAACTATGACGCTCGCAAGCAATGGCCTCATTTAGAATGACATCCCAGCATATTTAACGTCCACTTTGAAGCAGTGTCTATTTTGCAGTTAATACAACTGCAGTTATAACTAGGGCCACCTGCAGGGTTCGAACTACAAACCTCTGCAACAAGCAGCTGGGCCATTTCACCGACCTGTACTTATATGGCTCCACATCCTGGGCTCCGCCAACCTGCACTGACCAGTATGGTGCAGTATCGCCAAATAACTCCCATGACCCGCATAGCGTGGGGAGGCCCACACCCAAGCAGCTCATGGGTTTGATGCCGATCCTGATGCCTGTTGTATATTTTGAGTTTGCATGTTTTCCGTTTGGATGTTTCTCCGGATCCTCCCGATTTTTCCCTCCACATTTAGAAACATGCGTTTAAAAGTATTTGGCTGCTTTAAATTTCCACGTGATAAGCCACTTCGTTGAGCCAGCATTTGTGGCCAGGTCACGAATGAAAAAGAGCTATATATCTCAGTTGGTGTTACCTCGTAAAATAAAATGAAAATTAAATGTCTGTATATTTACATCTGAACAGTGGGAGCTGATTGTTGCATGTGGCAGGTGCTGTCGAGCGGTGAGGCCCAGGCACTAGAAGAGGCCACACATCTGTTTGTGGACGTGGCGCGATTGCGGTCGGAGGAGGTCCGCACTGGGCTGCTGCAGGCCGCGGCACAACATGTGCACTGCCTACGTCCCGAGTACATCGCTGACTTCCTCATTATGGCACGTGCCACACTCTTGGCCAATGTCACGTTCCGAGGAGAAATCCCAGATGGGTTGTTACTTTGATTAAGAGAAATATATTGATTCACGGTTGTGAAATTAAATTGTATTATTGCAAACCAAACACCTGGCCTCACATGCCTATCTCATACCTACTATAATCACCCAGGAATGTCTGTCCTTAACGCTCGTGACGTCACTCCACATCGACCAGCCCCCCTCATTAAGTCATGAGCAGGTGACGTCCTCCAAATGGACACTCCCCCCACCCCTCATTAATATTCATGAGCTGGTAACGTCACTCAATATGTAATACTCCCCCCCCTCACTAATAATCATGCACAAGTGACGTCACTCCCAATCGACCAGCCCCCCTCATTAATAATGAGTAGGCGACGTCCTCCAAATGAACACCTCCCCCATTATTATTACCTTACTATGAGCCAAGAATGTCTGTGTGCAACACTCGTGACGTCACTCCACGTCGACCATCCCCCCTAATTAATAATCATGAACAGGTTACGTGCTCCACATGGACCCCCCCCCCTCATTAGTAATAATGAGCAGGTGACGTCACTCCACATCGAACAGCTACCCTCATTAATAATCATAAGGTGACGTCCTCAAAATGGACACCCCCCCATTCATAATAATTAGTGCCTGACGTCACTCCACATGGCAGGCCAAGGCGCCTCCTCCCCCCTCCTCAGCGTCAACTTACAACCCTCACTACAAAGGCAGAACCCTCACGTCACGCGATCTCCTTAACGTTATTTAGACGTCAAAGTAAAAAGGACGTCATGATGAACAAGGGATTATAACCTGAAAATGAAATAGGTCTGTGTCACCGCGCCCTTACAAATTGCACACGCATTAATGCAATGAATATCACGTCGCGGACTGCTTTTCTCTTGCAAGTTTCAGATTTACTGAAATACACCCGTCCTTGGGTGGGCAAAAGGCTAGTTAGTTTATATTTGTATTGATAAACATGTATTTCCAATATGAGAAGATGTTACAAGGAATCATGTCTGCATTAACCACAATAATTGTGGTCAGAATGCAAAAAAAAACATACTCTGACAATATATGCATTTTCTTTGGTTCTTTCGGTAAAGTCACGTAGAATGAGAATAAAATAATAAATTGATAAAATAACAATATTATTCTCACGACGTTTCGGCCACAACACAAGCGGCCTTCATCAGGTGAAGGGACGAGACTGTCTGGAGGACAGCGCTGTCCTCCAGACAGTCTCGTCCCTTCACCTGATGAGAATATTATTGTGTTATTTTATTTTATCAATTTATTATTTTATTCTCATTCTACGTGACTTTACCGAAAGAACCAAAGAAGATGAATCCTTTCAGTCACGAAAGCTTTAAATCGAAATATATGCATTGTCTTTGAAACTGATTGGTCCACACCAGAGACAGCTTTCTTCGTCTCAAACGGTGTTAGACCAAAGGACGCCTTTTGGTGTTTTAACAACTTAACACCTGTTTTGTTGCCAGAAAAAAGGGGAAAACCTATTCTCATATTTTGGTACTGGCAAAGGAGGTCCCATGATGTATTTCCAATGTTCATTTCTACTTTATGCTTGGTTTGCAATAAAACATTTTCATTTTTAGTAGATCTGAACAACAGAAATAAACAAATAGCTATGTGATGGCCACCCAAACCATATCGATTGAGGGAGTTGTTTGGCTATACTTCACCATGCTGTTCAGTGCAGGTTGCAAAAGGAGGACCTGGGACCAGATCAGATATTCCCGTGGCTGGGAATAGTTGAGTTTATAAAGTAGTGTGCTATACACTGCATCACCACTAAACCCCAATTCTCTATACTCATAGTTATATTCGTGTACTATAGAATGAACATCTGTCATTAAAATGCATTTTTAAATCGATGCATTTCAAAACGAAAAGGTAAACTTATGCCACTATAATTTAAAAAATATATATTGTTATGCTGTTTTTGTTGTGTGCAGGATTCCCCACCCAATCTGGAGCAGTATTACATCCCAGATGGGCCAGCACTACAAGCAGGCGAGGAATCTGGCCCCTCCACTGCCCGAAAACGAAAAGCCACAGATTCAGCATTGAAAGAAAAACGATCTCGACTCCAATGAACCCATCGCCCTCTAGTTCTTAACTGTTTCACTGTGATTCTGTTTCTGTTAACATTGTATTAAAAGAACAGCATTGTCTTGTTTAGGCAAACAACATAAACATTGATTTGTTGTCGAAATGTAGTTATCCATATTAAATATGCAGCTTATAACTACTCTATATCTTCTGTCTGGAAGTCATGCAATGTATTGTACAGGTAAACTAATGATTTTAAAACTGTGTTTTTATTGTTTAATAAATGTAATTTTATGGCACGTAAAATGTGTTCCCAATATTGTTTTCAGAATAATAGTTGAGCTCTGCTGAAATTAAGGCCATTTTGTTGTAGTTCCCACTGTGGGTGTTGGCCACACATGATATGAGACTGCTTTATACGAATGTAATCAGATAACATGGGGCCATACACAACGCGTCACCGCATTCACCTCCCAGCTCCTGCCCTTCGTGTCCCTCACGGCGAGCCGTATGGCCAGCTCGTTACGCAGTCCCAACCCCTGGAGGTGACAGCCTGCTGCAGCCATGAGAACACCAGCCTCCCCCTCATTCTCCAGCCAGCAGATACTCCCGATTTGGAGAATCTGCCCTACTGGCTCAGCCTCTGGGAAGCAAGTCGCTTGTCCAAACAGCTACAGCAAGCGTTCCTGCACCAGGCACGAAGGGAGTCTTGGCCCAGTCTCCCCACGGTAATTGTTGCAGTCAGCTGTCTTCCCCAGATCCAGTTTGGGGGTACAGAGCCCGATCATAATGCAAGTCACTGCGTGGAGCTCCTTGGCATATCCTCCCCACCGGCCTTCAGCAGTTTGACTGTGATGCTGCACACACCAGCCACCTTTCGCCGCTTCAGCTTCCCTACCACTCTCCAAACCTTGTCTAGAGATGGAGCGGCTCCAAAATCAGGGGATTGGTGGCCTTTGACGCAGCATCAGGCACATCTGGCTTCACAACCGGAGAGGAGGCAGCGAGGATCTGCTCAAAGTACATTCTGCAGGAGCTTCCAGCAGGTGCCCACAAGAACGTGATCTATCTCTGCATTGCTGGCATTCGAGATCTATGTCCAGCAATGTAGGTCAGGCCTTTGGAACAACGACCCCTCAGCTCCCCATCCACTGGGGTACAGCTGTAATAGCTGGGCTAAGGGGGAAGCAAGAACCCACTGCATCCCTGGCCACTGGTCCTGCAGGTCTTCGTCAGAGCATTAGTGGGGAGAGTCCTTTCACATGGCTCGGTCACAACCCACGCCATGGATGGTGGTATTAGTTTGTGTTTTAAGATATGAAAACAAGTCAGGTGGCTCACGAGAAGGCTATCATCTTCCACCCAGGAGACCAAAACTTCCTGTATGAGGTTGTAAGTGGCCGATTGAATGTTACAACAATTGTGTGTGAACTATTCCATTAAAATGTGACTGAATATCCCATAATGACATTTCAATGATGCTTTGAACCATCTAATTACTGATTCTTGCAAATTTGCAGTGTTGTGGACACCCTGATGCTGTGATGTTAATGTTTAATTTTGTGCCTGTTTTCACATTCTCTTTCCACCCTCTCACTCCGACACCACATGCACCTTTTCTGCCACTTCACGAAATATGCCGGATTCTGTTGACAACACATAGTTTCTTGACATAACATTTGGCATATAATTTATAGTTGTGTGCATTACATTGCAAATGTAGTGTTTAAATTTAATCCTTAGTGCTTGTATATGAAATATTTGGGTATTGTTTTTAAAAGTTTAAGGTTGCAAATGCAATAAATAAAACATTTTTTTTAAATGTCCCCTCGTGTATAATATGTACAGCTAATGTTCATAAGCTTTCGCGACCAATATTCATAATAAAGGTTTTTGGGTTAGATCGCGTAAGTATAAATGTGTCGTAACCCTCCACACACGACACAGGCAGTAAGGTTTGTCAAGTAAACAACGCGCCAATTAGTTACTTATTCAGCCCACCGGTGTAAAGTTACAACATTTGCCAGATTATGTTCGATGTAATTACCAGCGAAACGTGGTGGAGGGTTACGACACATTTATATTTCCGCGATCTAACCCAAAAACTGTCTGGTGTGGACCAATCCATTTAAAAGACAATGCATATATTATCAGAGTATGTTTTTTTTATTTGCATTCTGACCACAAGTATTGTGGTAATGCAGACATGATTCCTTGTTAAAGGTTTCAGTTTGGTGTTCTAACATCTTAACACTTGTTTTTGCCAGAAAAAAGGGGAAAACCTATTCTCATATTTTGGTACTGGCAAAGGAGGTCCCATGATGTAACGTATTGTATTTCTTTGCCCTCGCATCTATGATCCCCACCTTCGAAAATCCGCACTGACCATTGTGGTGGGTCAATTAACCCCTAGGGCAAAGGGATGCCCTCATTTAGCAGTGGATTGACAAAAATATCTTTACGTGTCTTGAGAGACCCCCAATTGTTTATTAACAACCACTAGGAATACACTTAAAGAGTAATTAGTAACGTCGATTATGTTGTGATACGTACATGATTTCGTGGCGATGAGCTACCAAAAAAACAAAGACCCCCCCGTATAGCCTTAACAGTCTGTTGAGGCAAGTGCTGTTAGCGAGCACCAATGAAGGCCGACATGTCACACAAGGAGGTGGGTGGCCACACCACGCCCGGCCGCCTTTGTCTTTTTAGTGACGATGCTTACCCATCCTCACTGGGTGGCCGGTTTGTAAGCGTAGCGCGCAAACCGCTCAAATGTGGCGCCACGGTGGTGAGATGTTCACTACCTTGCCCTGGTATACAGGTCGTGGGTACAACCCCCACCCCTGGGCGCCTGTATATTTGGAGTTTGCGTGTCTCTCTCCGCGTAGTCGCGTGGATTTTTCTCCGGGTCCTCCGGTTTTTCCCCTCCACGTTTAGAATCAACATCTCGCGTTTGGATGATTTGGCCGCGAGAAATGTCCACACGATAAGCCACTTTGTTGGGCTATCATTTGTGGCCAGGTCGCTTCTGATAAAGAGCTACATACCTTAGCTGGCTTTGCCTGGTAAGATAAAAAAATAGTTGATGTATATATATTTTTATTATCTTACCTTTCCTACACTTTACACACCCATCGTGCGTTTATTGTTGTAACGTTGAACGGTTTAGCTCAATGAGCTCACCACCTCCGGTTGTGTCACACCCACGTGCGTGCCCACACTTCCGGGTCCGTACTTCCGGGTTCCTCCCCGTAGCCCCCTCCCCCTCCGAGCCGAAGCGGGAGCGAGTTTAATGCTCAAGCCGAGCGACAGTTCATAACACCGTTTATAACAACGAATTGGAATAGTAATAACAACAACAACACAGCGACATCATGATCCTCTTAGAAATCAACAACAGAATTATCGAGGAGACGCTGACTCTAAAGTTTGACAATGCGCTGGCCGGGTAGGTGCGGAGCGAGCGGCGCGGCCTAGTTGCTTCGGTCCCAGGCCTCTGGCCGCGGCGAACGTTTAAAACCCACACAATCTTATTTTAAAACCCTCTCGCGTTTGAGTGTAAAAAAAAAACATACTCTGCGCTTCGATTAAAACGACGTTTAAGCACTACACGGCGAGATGCGATGTATCTGATACGAGTTGGTTGTGTGCGTCGTTGATTACGGCCGTGTTGTTCTTAGGGCGTCGCCCCCACCCCACCCCCCCGTACCTTGGCCTAATCATGTGGATGTATGTTGTTTATTGCACTTTGAAATTTGTTGAATGCCACTGGGTGTTTTGTGTGTTTTTTTAACAGTTGCTATTAAAGCGATAAACCGCATGTTTTTCTTGATTTAGCACGGAGAGATGTGAGGAACTGGGGAGCGTATTTGTCAGGAAGCGAACGCAAATCGGAGATGGTTGTTATTGACCGTTATTAAGATGTGGGCAGGATATGCGCACACGGCCACAGTACAGGTGTAGTATTCTTGCTGCACGTGTTGGCAACGTACGGTGCGAACGAAGTTCATCATACGTTTAGTACTGTAATTCGTATATAAATAGTTTGTCCGCCTTGATGAGGGAGAAATTCTCATTAACGACCACGGTGTTGGGCGTACTCGGATTAACTACTATCTTTCGCCGGTGATGGTGCATTCAAGTTAAGTTTGTGCGTCAAACCACTGACATTTTACGTATATAAGCCGCTTTCTAAACATTGATGATTACATTTTAAAAACACGTATATTACGGAACAAATACACATTGAGACATTGATTTCAGAAAATTAAGTGTGCTTGGGCAGGACACATGGCTAGAAGGTTCAATGGGCAATGGATGAGACTGGTAATATATTTGCATCCAAAGGGAAAGACAACGTACCGGAATGTATGTCCACCGTGGAGAAAGAGGGATGAGACCGGTTCATATTCACGAGAGAGATGAATTGTGGCATCGCAGTCATGTGCGATGGCGATTACCATTACTCGTGATTATAATACTACACACGTCCTGGTATCTGTGTTGTCATCGTGTGTGTTGCTGTTATTTTCTGCATGTCTTGAGCGATGTAGCTGGATTGGGCTTGCTCCTGGCTCAACCTGCCTGTAGTTTGGTCATGAATTTGACCATGTTCAGTGTTGATCGTGCTCCAATGTGCTAGTGAACATTTATTGACTTAACGTGCATTCAAATGCACGAATGTGCTAATGGAGCCTGCATTGCCCCTTCAACATACTCTGCAGGCCTTTAGAATGCATTTTTATTTCACAGCACTCCTGCCAATTCTGTATCCGTATCCATTTCAAGGCATGCATTGATGTTATCATGCAGGCTGTGGTGTGAAATTAGTGTACCTTGATGACGAGCATGCATAAAACTGCTCTGGAAATAATTTGGCCCAGGAAGTTGTAAGTGGCCTCTGTGAGTGTGTGAACTTTTGCCTGATGATGCGAGCGATCTATTTTATTGAAATATGACTTGAAAAGCCCGTAATGATAGGAGTGAAATTTCAATGATGCTGCGAGTGAACTCATTGCTCTGTGATTCGTGCTGATGTGCAGTTGCACGGCCACCCCTGATGCTGTGATGTTAACATTCTTTTTGTGCCCCCACCTCTATCGCACATATCGTTTTTTCTGCCACTTCACAGAAATAAGCCAGATTCTGTTGACATCACATTTGCAGGTACTGTACTGTATGCAACGTTTCGTTAATCATAGTTCCGTAACCATACTACTTATTTAGGAATATATATTAATACAAAACAACACTGAGTTATTTTTTTGACAAAATTGTATTACCTGTTAACAATGACATTTGTTTTCACATAATTGAGAATTCGCATGATAATTGACACATTTTTTGTGCTGAGCAGTGATTTTATATGCAAGCCCTTGCAACCATTCCTGTTAAGAGTGTATTGTGTTAGAGCTGCTTTACCACCTGTGCCGTATCTCCACCAGACTTTGATGGAGTTCTCTACCACATATCCAACCCTGGTGGTGACAAGTCTAAAGTAATGGTCAGCATCTCCCTCAAGTTCTATGCTGAGCTGCAGAAATATGATGCTGACAAGGTGATGTGGCCACATTCGTTTCCGTAGTCGTGTTACCAGTTACTGCATGCATGGTAATACTGAATATAAATACAAAAAATGTTTGTTCCGTTTTATGCTTTGGTACTTATCAAAATGTAAGAAATTTGGAGGGTGTGAATTTTACTAGTTTTTGTTTACTGCTTTAAGACATGGTTGTCAACCAAGAAACAGGTTAAATATCTACACATTTCTCAAACATCTATGGAAATAATTATTTTAGAAGTCAAAGAAATATATGAAGGAATTAATACACAAGTAAACAAACAGATCACCGATGCTGTTAAGGCAAAATAAATTAAGTGCAAATGGGCAGTGACATGTCGAGAGAACAACGGACGAGATGGACGAAATTTGCTTTAAAGTGGCAACCAAGAGCAGGAAAAGAAGCAAGGGTAGACAGCTGAAGAGAAATCAAAGAATTCAGAAGCCACCACTGAACAAGAAAAAGTAAGGGAAGGAACCCATAGAATAAATTGGGGAGGCCTTTTCTCACTCGAGGGACATTACAGGCTAACAGCAACAACATATCAAAATGTACAAGGGTGAGCTCAAATACTTAGTTATTTATAAATCCACTATTTACTTCTTACAATTGTGAAGCTCTTATTTTCAATTTAATCTTTAATTTGCCAAACGTATGCTGTTGAAATGATTGCATTATCTGGTTATGTTTGATTCACTACTTCTTACAGCATTGCATTCTGATGCAAAAATATAAGAACATCCCATATAAGGGCATTGTTATCTGACTGCCAGCACATTGGATGATGACGCCCAGAACAGGAAACTCCCTTCCAGCAGTGGTCACGTTGTGGCTAAGAGGCCGGGAGCAGCGGCGATTGGGAGGAACTCCTTTGTGATTTTCATTGCAACCAATTTGCTGGTCTTGCTCTGACATCCTGTTGTGAGCAGAATACTTCAACTAAGTTTTCATGTACATATTATTCTTGATTATGTATTTTTGGTCCGTATGCTGGTGTTAATGTAACACATGTACAGTATTAATGTGCACATTTATGCACTTTGGGGAGTTTTTTATGTTTTGCAGCCTGTACAACATTCATGTCCTCTCAGCTTGGAAAATGTAAAAATCTGCACGGCTCAATGCACTTGAATCTGAATTAACTAATTTATTTTCCACATGTTCAACACAAAGGGGGTTATTCATTATGGATTGGAGCCTGTTACAGAGGAGCAGAGTGGCTAATCACAACTGCAGTGACAGTTTTTGGGCACTAAGGTCATGTTTCGGTGATATTCATTGACAAATGTATAAATAGAAAGAAATGACAGTACAGGTTCAAGGTGTTATTAAGGTTCACATTTTTTTTACCAAATGCGTGCGTCCACATATGTGTAACCCTGTGGGCATATAGCTATCTGGACACGGCAGTGCGTTCCATATAACCCGGTTTCTAATGTATGTTGAACTTCTTTCACACTGTACGTAGCCAACCGTGCTAATCGGAGGTGAACATTACCATTGGCCCTTGATATTTGACCCTGTGTTAGACTTCTAGGATGAGAGCTCCCCACATCGTGTGGATCATTAAAGGTTATTTGACCATGCTTCACCTCGCTGGTCAGTCAGCGTGGCTTGGTGAAAGCAGAGAGCATAAATGAGAGTATGGGAAGTGCTGTGCAACAATGTATATTTCTGCAATGCCTTCTGTTGCCAACCACAGCCCAACATCCACCTATGACAAACTGGTTGTGCATGCATGGTGGTCACACATCCAAGCACAATCCAGGCTTAATTTTGCTAAGCTTCTGAGATGTGATAACATCCGGCACATTCGTGTGATTTGGCCAAAGACCCGTAAGTATGACTCGGTCTTAAATAGGTACGTGGTGCATGCAGCATATGAGCAGCAATAATGGAGAGATACAAGAGTGGCCATGTGTGGTGCTGGTCATACCACTCCATTGGTGTATGCTGTGCCTCCACCTTTAATAGGTGCTCACTAACAGCCCTTGCCTTGATTGTAAGACTAACTGGGGGATCTTTTTGTTCTGCAGCTGCTGAAAAGGGAGTATGGCAGCTACTTGGTGGAGCCGGAATCGGGTGAGCTCAACCTGCATCCACCCGCGTGTTGCGCTCGCCACCACACTCGTAGAACTGTGACGACGGGATTGTTTTGGCATAAATAAACAAAACACAGCAGTGAAGCAGAAATAGAATGTTATGGGAAGCCCGAGCACTACTATGTTTACGTGAATATGTACATCCTCTTTTGTCAATCCACTGCTGAATGAGGGACTCTCCACACCGTGTGGATCATGGGGTTCTTTTTTTACCATACATCACCGCCACTGGTCGGTTCTGGTTGGTGAAGAAGGCAGGGAGTGCAGTAGAACAGCGGATATTGCTGCATTGCCCTCTTGACAACGTAGCCATGCAGCGGTGGATGACACCTATTCGTGATTGGTCGCCCATCCATACTCTATCCAGGCAAAACATCCCTGCTTAGCCTGAATAATCTAAACATACCTTTAGATTATTCAGATTATTTTGTTTCCCTAAATTTCCTCGTGAGAAGCCACTTTGTTGAGCTATCATTTGTCGCCAGGTCACTTCTGAAAAAGAGGCTTGCAGCTCAGTGGGTTTTATCTGGTAATATTAATTTTTTTAAGTGATTATCTTACCTTTCCTATATTTGGCACACCTATCATGTTTTTGTATTGTTTGTTGTAACTTTCTGACCTGCCCCCCTACTGTGAAAGAGAGCATTTATACCTCATCGGACTCCTCCAGTATAAATACATATTCTGATTCTGAGATCTAAATAGAAGGGGGGTGTGAATTCTGCGTAATTTGGTCATAGGTACTAGACACTGTATACATGCTGCACTACAGTGTACACCCTGCACAATTTCAGGTGGCGTTCCCAGAGCCACGTATGAGCATGGCACGTCCTTGTGGGGCACTCCAACACAAACCCTGATGACCAGCGTGACATTTAGATTAGTTTTCCACACACTAGTTTCCATGCACTTTGTTTTGTTGGTTATTATTGAACAGTATATAACTGTACTCTTTGGTTCTTTCGGTAAAGTCACGTAGTTAGTATATTGCTGATTCATTGATGGGATTTTTTTTCGCACATTTTGTATATAACATGTGTCATTTACCATTATTATAGTTGTGCCATTCCAAAAAACAATGTATAAAGGTGCGGCGTTTCAGTGGGTTGTAGCCTGAACCGCATACGTGCCTGTCATCCACCTTATAAATTACTTTTTGTGCCCTGCCTTAGCCCTGGGCTTACAACTGCCACACAGCATATATAGTAGTTGTTGGTAGATGCTGGGAAAATTCCTTTTTTATTCAGCTGAAAGCAAGCTAACCTTACTCATACCCTTAAACAGTGTTGCAAAGGAAAGTGCACTTTTGCTGTTTGCTGCAGTTAGCACCTTTGGCGTAAGTTTGTGAATGGCTTTAATGCACGTGTCGAAAACCAGCAGGACAATTACGGAACAGTGTGCACTGTTCACTATGTGCAGTGTAACTATGTGTAACTATGTGCAGTGTGTATGCCTACCAAATTAAACACAGGACTGTGGTTCATTGCCTTGGTGACCAGGGCAGATGTGATGACCATAACATAAGGGAGAGCAGTAGGTGGTACGATCAAGAATTCGCTCTGAGCAAGTGCTCTTTTACAAACTGGAAAATAATACTCTGGCTTGCTATGTTAAGGAGTCAATCATAGGCTTGTGTCAGGCTTTGATTTCGACAGGTTGCACAGCAGATATGTACATTAAGTTGCACAAATAGCATATGTCATAATTTGTGGTAGTCTTACTATTCTTAGGGTGAGTTGGGTACGTATCGTACGTTTCACCACTTAGATCTCTGCAATAATTTCTGCGAGTTAGGAACATTGCACAGCATTGGCTTAGTACTTAAAGTTAACTAAAGAAAATAGCAGAAATGAAAAATGCGTTGAAATTAAATTGCAGAAGGGAAACTTTTTCTTTCACCGATCCTCGTTTCCAAGCACAATGCAGTACTTTACAAGGTTCCTCGTTGGTAAAATAAAAAAAAGAACTTTCTGCGGAATCCCCATGTGTACCATTCATAGTCTACACGTTACTGCATAAATACATAATAGAAAAATGCTATCATTGGACATTACCAAATTAACACACAGTATCTTATATTACGTGTATTATGTGCTTATCAGGCTTGACATTTAATTGAAACACTGGATGAGAGGTGTTGCACTGCAATACTGCAATGTTTGCGCAGCCGTGCTGCTTTTAATGTGCCAGCATATGCCGCATGTCTCTACATGGTCTGTAGTACATTCTGGCCACATCTATGGAAGGTTTTTTTACTGAATACTCCAATTAAAAACCACATGTGTAAAAATGCCGGATGGGCTGGGATTTAATTTGAAATATCTATTCATTGACCGTTCATCTTCTCTCGTAAAATGCGGTCTATTATCTAAGAGGTCTGTCTGTGTTTGACAGACTTTAATCCGGCCAGTGGCAATTAGTCAACCAGGATGCATTAAACAGATTTTGTACTTAACCTCACTTGTCTACTCCAAACTCTCACTTTCGCTGTGCACTCTGGAAAACATTAAACATGAATGTGCCATGGATATAATCGTTTGAAAAATTGTTCGTTAGCGTTTTTTTAATGTTTTGGTAATGGCGTGTTGACGTGGCCATGGTGTGCTCAGGCTACAATGTGTCGCTGCTGTACGACCTGGACAACGTGTCGGCCAACAAGGCAGAGGACATCTCCCGTGCCGGCCTGCTCAAGAGGAACTGTTTCGCCTCCGTCTTCGAGAAGTACTTCGAGTTCCAGGAGAAGGGCATGGAGGGAGAGAATCGCGCCGTCATCCACTACCGCGATGACGAGACCATGTGCGTGCACTCGTAGGACAGCGTAAAACTGTGTTGCGTGCAATTTGTGGCATGGAACGGGTTGATACCTGGATTTTTTTGATAGACGCCTCATACAGTAGTCGTACAGGCACAAAAATACATTACCGCCATCAATGTGAAACTTGACCTGCCTTGCATCAAACTGCAATGTATGAATGAGTGGATTCCTTTAGAACTCGATTAAGAGCCTGCTGCAATTGTATTGCTTTTATGAGTAAGACCTGGGTAGTCGAGTTACCAGCGCCTCCTGCACGGCTCACGCTGACTTGAAGGACGATTGGTCTTTCGTGTCCTCCCAGGTACGTGGAGGCCAAGCGTGATCGTGTGACCGTCGTGTTCAGCACCGTGTTCAAGGATGACGACGATGTGGTCATAGGCAAGGTGTTCATGCAGGTGAGTGCAGGGCAAGCGCTCTTATTTTTACATACTTTTGAGTGTCTCGTGTGCATTTGAAGCATTGGTTTGTTCTGGGCAGCAGTGGTTTGCGATTTTTTTGTGTATGAAGGTCACTAAGTTAAGTTGCATTAGAATGCGCAAGTTCTTGAGAAACTTCATAAGATATACCGTACATACCAGGGAGGCATTTTTTTTGTTAAACTTAAGAAGCCGGGTGAAAATGCTAAGCGCTGTCTGTCACGGCTTGTGTTTTTTGATTGAAAGCGAGTGTTGCAAGAGTTTTATAACCATATTTGGAAGCGTGTGTTGTACAACTGAGAATGATGATGTGAAAAATGTTGCACGTTCAGTGTATGCGGCTGTGAGGCACACCCTGCCCAGGGCTAATGTATTCACCTCGCCTGGCAGCGCACACACCGGCTGTTGGTGAGAGAGCGCTTTGGCCCAAGCACCACGGCCGATCGCAGTGGTACACAAGCAGATAATTTAGTATAATGTTAACACGTGTCTCAGGTAAATTATGAAATTCAATAAATTCATGAGTAATTGTTCGTATATGGTAGTTTGTATCTCTGGTTTTTTTTTTGTTCCTGTGATGTCCTTGATGCCTATTTAAGATGTCATGTATGTTGGTTTGCACACCTGAAGACGACCGTTTGTGTTGTGGTCGAAACGTCGTGATAATTTTTATTGTTGTATATATATTTTATTATTTTGTTGTTTCCCTTCAACGTGACTTTACCGAAAGAACTAAGAATATGAATTACTGCAGTCACGAAAGCTTTAAATCAAAATGTCAGGTCAGGTTAACAAAGTTACTTCCTGGATTTTTAATCTGACTTCCTGGATCTTGCTGATGGTTGACATCGTGTAAAATAAAACATATCTACTCGCTAAATTTTGAACTTGCTGGTCAGCTGAAACAAAAAATCAATAGGCACATTTAAAGCTAGTAGACATGACAGTTTTTGTTTTGCTGTGTTTGGTGGTGGAGGGCCTTATCGACACAAAGTTGATCAGAACAATTGTGGCATAACTCAACAATCTTTTATGAAATAGAAAAAAATGAAAATAGCACAAGTCAAGTCTTGCTGATAAGGATGTCGGTAAGTTGGAAGGAGTTTTAGTAAAGTTATATTTGGGGAGTTTTGAGGTGTATAATTAAATGAATGTGATAACGATCCTTTTAGGAACTCGTTTTGAGCGCAGTTTATTACCCACCTTCGCTGACAGACAGGTATGTGCAGGACTCTCCTTCGTCGGCATGCGCCCCAGGGGCCCTTTGCAGGGCTTGGGTGTGCTCTCTGGGTTTGCCCATGTGGGCGGTGCAGTGGGCGTGTCCTCGTACAGCCCCCTTGCCGTGCATTCACCGGTACGTGCCCCTGCGTGTGTCCGTGCGCAGGAATTCAAGGAGGGGAGGCGTGCCAGCCAGACGGCCCCACAGGTGCTTTTCAACCACCGCGACCCTCCCTTGGAGCTCAAGGACACCGATGCTGCCGTGGGCGACAACATCGGCTACATCACCTTCGGTGAGCAACCCCCCGTCAAAGTGGTCGACCCACACAGCTGCAGGCCAACGTGGGCAGCACATGTGGTCGCCAGCGAGCACCAAGTAAATCCCACTGAGCCCACGTAACGCATTTGGGCTACAGCACCTTTTGATGAGGAGCCCCATCAGAGTGATTGGCGTGCGCAGCGTCGGCCCGGAATAATCGGTGGACACAAGTCACAGCCCAAAGTGAGCGCGCAAAGTGATCCCTGCATACAGTCCCACCCCAAAGTGAGCAGTGTACACATTCCCAGGCCAGGGTCATCAGTGCACACCACAAGTACAGTGAGGGAAAACAAAGTATTTGATCCCCTGTTGATTTTGTACGTTTGCCCACTGACAAAGAAATGATCAGTCTATAATTTTAATGGTAGGTTTATTTGAACAGTGAGAGACAGAATAGCAACAGCAAAAATCCAGAAAAACGCATGTCAAAAATGTTATAAATTGATTTGCATTTTAATGAGGGAAATAAGTATTTGACCCCTCTGCAAAACATGACTTAGTACTTGGTGGCAAAACCCTTGTTGGCAATCACAGAGGTCAGACGTTGCTTGTAGTTGGCCACCAGGTTTGCACACATCTCAGGAGGGATTTTGTCCCACTCCTCTTTGCAGATCTTCTCCAAGTCATTAAGGTTTCGAGGCTGACGTTTGGCAACTCGAACCTTCAGCTCCCTCCACAGATTTTATATGGGATTAAGGTCTGGAGACTGGCTAGGCCACTCCAGGACCTTAATGTGCTTCTTCTTGAGCCACTCCTTTGTTGCCTTGGCCATATGTTTTGGGTCATTGTCATGCTGGAATACCCATCCACGACCCATTTTCAATGCCCTGGCTGAGGGAAGGAGGTTCTCACCCAAGATTTTACGGTACATGGCCCCGTCCATCGTCCCTTTGATGCGGTGAAGTTGTCCTGTCCCCTTAGCAGAAAACACCCCCAAAGCATAATGTTTCCACCTCCATGTTTGACGGTGGGGATGGTGTTCTTGGGGTCATAGGCAGCATTCCTCCTTCTCCAAACACGGCGAGTTGAGTTGATGCCAAAGAGCTCCATTTTGGTCTCATCTGACAACAACACTTTCACCCAGTTGTCCTCTGAATCATTCAGATGTTCATTGACAAACTTCAGACGGGCATGTATATGTGCTTTCTTGAGCAGGGGGACCTTGCGGGCGCTGCAGGATTTCAGTCCTTCACGGCGTAGTGTGTTACCAATTGTTTTCTTGGTGACTATGGTCCCGACTGCCTTGAGATCATTGACAAAATCCTCCCGTGTAGTTCTGGGCTGATTCCTCACTGTTCTCATAATCATTGCAACTCCACGAGGTGAGATCTTGCATGGAGCCCCAGGCCGAGGGAGATTGACAGTTCTTTTGTGTTTCTTCCATTTGCGAATAATCGCACCAACTGTTGTCACCTTCTCACCAAGCTGCTTGGCAATGGTCTTGTAGCCCATTCCAGCCTTGTGTAGGTCTACAATATTGTTCCTGACATCCTTGGAAAGCTCTTTGGTCTTGGCCATGGTGGAGAGTTTGGAATCTGATTGATTGATTGCTTCTGTGGACAGGTGTCTTTTATACAGGTAACAAGCTGAGATTAGGAGCACTCCCTTTAAGAGTGTGCTCCTAATCTCAGCTCGTTACCTGTATAAAAGACACCTGGGAGCCAGAAATCTTTCTGATTGAGAGGGGGTCAAACACTTATTTCCCTCATTAAAATGCAAATCAATTTATAACATTTTTGACATGCGTTTTTCTGGATTTTGTTGTTATTCTGTCTTTCACTGTTCAAATAAACCTGGCATTAAAATGATAGACTGATAATTTCTTTGTCAGTGGGCAAACGTACAAAATCAGCAGGGGATCAAATACTTTTTTCCCTCACTATAACACATTTCTGCCCTTGCAGAGTTTTGAGTCACTGAAGACTGCAATTCTAGATTGCCCTGATCTAATGTGAGCATTGACATCAGTCTGCAACAAATTGATTTTAGTTTTGGGTTTCCAAACCTTAGAGAAATAAAATGTGGTTGGGGCATAACATCTGAAATCCTTTTATTCTGTTTTAACTGTTCACATCCATCTTGAAAATGTCCCACTGTGAACTATTCAGAGCATCTTGATGGTTCGTTTGCTGTCTGTGCCTCCACAATTTAGTAACTGTGGACAAACAAAGTTTTTCACTTTGACCTGTGTTGAAGGTGTGAGGGTACAGTATTATAAAAAGAGCAGTTTTTGGTTATTTGAGTTGATACCTGCCGTCCAGATGCCCCGGTGCTTCTATTGTAACAATCACAGACAGCACTGTGGTGTTAACATTGCTGCACTGAATTGACAGACGTTGTAAATTAATCTTTTCCTTTGCAAACCTGCAAAGTTTTAAATCCATCATGAGCACTGGCAGTTCTGCTTCATTCGTGACACTTATTACTGCAGTTTTACTGGAGCTGGTATTTTTTTTCCCAACTTTGCATTTCAACTGACCTTGCCATAACCGGTTATGTTGCCGGCAGTGCCTGAGCTTGCCTTGTTTAGTTGCCACACCACAGGGAGGGGCCTGGCTCGCCAGAAACCGAACTCGGTGATCGTGCACTTGACTCCACTGAATAAGGGAGTCGACTGTAGAACACAAAAAAAGTCTCAAAAATGTCAAAGAAAATAAGTTACCTTGTGTGTACAACACACAGCAGTCACCAACGCAACTGTGGCACAGTTTGCTTTTACCTTTGTCCCTTTGTGAATTGGAAGTTTGTGTTTTTAGTGTGGCGTTTGTAATGCGTTGTGCTTGCAGTGGCTCAGAGTATTGGGCCCACATCGCCAACATCCTTGGTTTCTAGTCTTGCATTTCAGTTTCCTCTGATGGCACAAAAAAGCATTGTGCATACTTTAAAAAAAATGTACAAACCAACAATTGATTACGTTAATTTCCTTCAAATGTTTACTTGCCATGTGATGTCATGTCTATGTATTGTAGGGATGTTTCAAAATGTGCTTCATGTTCTAGCTCGCCTTGGCTCAGGTGGGTGAAGTGGTGGATTAAAGTCTGTTGAGGGACTGGTTTATCCTGATGTATTTTGACAAATTGGGTTGAATGCTAAATGGTTGGTTCATGGCTTGCGTCTGTGCCTCCGTTGTGTCTGCAGTGCTGTTCCCGCGTCACACCAACGCCAAGGCCCGCGACAACACCATCAACCTGATACACACTTTCCGTGACTATCTGCACTACCACATCAAGTGCTCCAAGGTTCGCCTTCAGCATTTGCTTGCCGTGCACTATCAGCCTTTGTAGCTCGTCAATCGTGCCCTTGCACTTGATAATTGAACCTTACGGCGGTACCCCGGGTTACCATAGTACCCCGGCTCTTACACAATGTCCGTGATGCAGTCATTGTTTGTCTGTTGATGGTCGGCGATGCGGCAATCGACTCATCTCGACGAGCTGTACACGATGCACTATGGTGCATACGAGCGTTCAGGGTTTTAGCACAATCGTCCTCGCTGCGTTTCGACATCGCAGAGGAACACTGATTTCGGATTGATTGGTACCCCAGTCGCAGAGTGAACTACACCCCTGGGAAGAATAGTGTCCCAGAAATAAAATATTTAATTGCCTCGGCCATTTTGTATTATTTGGTACCCTGGGGTACCACCATAAGGATCAATTGAATTCCTGCTGCATGCAAGAGAAACTCGTTCAACTTGATGTAGCATTTTTTTTTACTAACACTTTTGTGAGGAATATGTTCCAACGCTTCCCCGCCTCGTGTAATTAAGAGTGTTGAATATGTTGTCAACACAAAGTATACTAATTATTTGAGGCATCCAAGAGTCGTAGTCATAAGTGAGTGCACTAATGGTTGCATTATCAAAAAATGCTTTTCTGACAACTTTGACAACACAGTGCAAGAGACTCATCGAAATGTATCAGTACAGTTAGAATGTCTTGGTTTTATGTAACTAGTTTGCATAAACTATGACAACTCAAAGCTATAATTTTTTATATTTGGCACAGTGATAAGACCCTTGGGAAAGTTCAGATTTACTGGCTGCATAACCAAAAGTTCACACTGGTTAGTGGTGCAAGGTAAAAAATAATGTAATTTTTATTTCATTTTGCTCACATTTATCATCTGTTTTGCAAGGATACCCATAGTTTCCGCAGCTCTCTGTGTGCTCTGGCTTTGAAGTGACTGAAACGGCAAAGTGACAGTTTAATGGCCGCAGGAGGTGTAGGTACGCCGATTTGACAGACATCCTTGATCATACTGTCAAAGGGAAATTAATGCAGGTGGTGCGGTTGTGAGAGGTATCGACGTGCTACGGCAGGCCGGGCAAACAGGGCCGTCCCGTAGGGGGTGGATGTTAGCCACGATTCTGCGCTCGGCTTCATGTTTGCACTCGCCCCATCCCACGTCGTCTCCCCTCTCTCCTCTCTCTCCCACGTCTCCCTTTACTCTGCCCCACCAGGCCTACATCCACACTCGCATGCGTGCCAAGACCTCCGACTTCCTGAAGGTTCTCAACCGCGCACGGCCTGATGCCGAGAAGAAGGAGATGAAGACCATGTCGTGAGTTTTGTGTTTTTTTGAGTACCCAGTCCAGACATCCCATTGTGTTTATCTCTGTAGTTTACAAGACGAGGGGCATATGAATCAAAGTCAAAGCAAAGCAGAGGGATGTTATAAGTGGTTTGGGGAGATGGGCCACGCTGTTGGAGGATGTTGCATTGTTGAAAACATTTTTTACATGTTCTTCTTCAAGAACTACTCAACGATGGCAGCTATACAAAAATAAAAAGAGATCCCACCAACAGCCTGGTTACCAAAACGAACAAAATAATCTCTGATTCAACAGCATTAATTGATGAGACCAAACAGTTCTCGTTGAAACCCTCTGCTGCCAGACCACCAAGATTATATGGCCTTCCAAAGATACACAAAGAAGATACACCCCTTCGTCCCATTGTCTCTACTATCAACTCCCCCACCTATAAACTGGCACGTTTTCTTGCTGATATACTGCGACCTTTCACTGGAAAAACCACCTCTGCGGCACTAAATTCTACTCACCTGGTATCGACAATCAAAGGCATTTCCCTGTCCCCAGACGACCTGCTTGTCAGTTTTGATGTGGTGTCCTTGTTCACCAAAGTCCTGGTACCTGACACCATCGCTATCATTGAAGACCTGGTTCATCAAGGACTGCACACTGATGTACCCCCCCTGGTGAGACATTGCTTAACCAACACATACTTCACCTGGAATGGAACTTGCTACAAACAAACTGAGGGCACCCCAATGGGCTCCCCCCTATCTCCGGTTGTAGCCAACGTATTCATGGAAAAATTTGAAACTGACGCCATCCAGACTGCCACTCTACGCCCGACCTTATGGAAGAGGTACGTGGATGACACCTTTGTCATCTGGCCACATGGCCAGCCTGCTCTAGACCAATTCCACGACCACATCAATTCCATACACCCAGCCATCAGATTTACCATGGAGGTCGAAAAAGATGGCAAACTACCCTTTTTGGATGTCTTAATTAAAAGGAGACATGATGGTTCAATGAGCCACTCTGTCTATAGGAAAGCTACCCATACAGATGCTTACTTGAAACCGGATTCCCACCACCATCCATCCCAGAAGAACTCCCTCATCAAGACTCTATACCATAGAGCCCAATGCATTTCTGACCAGGAACACATTACCAGTGAACTCAAGCACGCACACCAGGCTCTCAGGGCTAATGGTTACTCCGACTACACAATCCGCAAAGCCATCACTCCAGTCATGAAGAAGGATCCTCTTGTGGAGCCACTCAAAACCATCACCTTACCCTACATTGCAGGGGTCACTAAAAAGGTCTCCAAAATCCTGAATAAACACAAGATCCAGGTCCGATTCAACACAGTACATAAAATCCGTGATCTAGTTCCATCTGTAAAAGATGCTGTTCCAGACATACAGTACCCGGGCGTTTACAAACTAAAGTGCCTCTGTGGTAGTAGCTACATTGGAGAAACCAAACGACATATCTTGGACCGCATCCGCGAACATAAAGCAGACTTGAAACACGGTAGGACGAACTCCTCTGCCGTGGCAGATCACTGTTATAATTCAGTGGGCTCACATGACATTGACTTCTCCAAGACGGAGGTTCTTTGCAAACCAACCAGCTACCATGAGAGATTCGTTCATGAGGCCATTCACATATACAAGCACAGAGACAATTTCAATCGAGAAGATGGATTCTGGCTTAGTAACCATTGGAAAGATGTTTTAAACCATTTCCGTTCTTAATTAATTGTATTTTACGATGACCTTCAGACCGCAGCTCTTTCGCTGGCATTGACTCTTAATACCTCTCACACCACGGTTAATGGTATGGTTTACAACATGGAGTATAACAGCGCCTCGCAGCTGTCTCTCTCCCCCTCCTCTGTTCCGACCATGGATGAACTCGTCCGTCTGAACGGGACCCGTAGCTATCCGTGTTGCTAAAGTTGAGGGTAAGAATCCACCCATTTTTCGCCATATAGCATTGTGATATTTAACGACTTATTGTTGGTAGCTTAGCTGATTGGAGAATATAGAGTTTATTGATAACATTGAGGTAATTTATATTTTAGTATTTTTTATTGGTTCACTATATAGTATTCATTATATATTGTATTGTATACCCAGTTACTGTGAATAGCTCAGATGTGTAGGCCTTAACTTCAACAAAGCCATTTCTGTGACCAGTCACAAGCTAATCACTCAGTTATTTCAATGCTAAATTCGCCTAGTTATTACAATGCTAAATTCTCCTGTTTGATTTGTACTAGTTGCCTCGGTGAATGTATATGCTCTGACTTTAACATAGCTATTTCTGTGACCAGTTACAAGCTAATCACTCAGCTATTTCAATGCTAAATTCTATGCTAATTCCTTTGTCAAGGAGTGCCTCTGCGGATGTGTATACATTAACTTAGCTATTTCAATGCTAAATTCTATGCTAATTCCTTTGTCAAGGGGTGCCTTTGCGGATGTGTATGCTTTAACTTTAACATAGCCTTTTCTGTGACCAGTCACAAGCTAATCACTCAGCCATTTCAATGCTAAATTATATGCTAATTCCTTTGTCAAGGCGCTTTGTTTCTTCTCACACAGCTTAAAGGTCATGATCTCAGCGTGGCTTTCTCACTCCAGCGCTGTCCTCCAGACAGTCTCGTCCCCTTCACCTGATGAAGGCCGCTTGTGTTGTGGCCGAAACGTCGTGAGAATATTATTGCGTTATTTTAATTTATCAATTTATTATTTTATTCTCATTCTACGTGACTTTACCGAAAGAACCAAAGAAGAGGATACATACTCTTTGGTTCTTTCGGTAAAGTCACTTAGGTATAAAATAAAATAAATCGCGACGTTTCGGGTGCAACACAAGCGTCCGTCATCAGGTGGGAAAGCATGGCCTGCTGCTGAGGCAGACTGTTTTAAAATGTTTGAAATGGGTGTAGCCCAAGGGTCATGAAGAAGTGGCCGGGGCTAGTGATGTTAATGTGAGAGATTAGCATGATGTTAATGTGAGAAATTAGCATGTAACTGTAGAAAAGGAGGAGAGTGGCCTCCTCGACGAGGGAGTGCAACCCAACGGGTGCAATCCAAAGGGCCTGTGAGTATGAGAGTGCAATGCAAAGGACACGTGAGCATGGGAGAGCTCAGAGAGAGGCATAGAGAGACACAGCGAGTCGGAAATAACAGCTGACATAGGCAGGTAGGATAGAAACATCACAGTCAGTTAAGACTTTACCTGGTTAATAACGTCCTTCCAATGATTGCTCAGTTTGTACCCATCTTCTTGGTTGAAGTTGTCTGTGTTTATATATCTGGATGGCTTCATGAAGAAATCTCTGACTTTACCGAAAGAACCAAAGAGTATGAATTCTTGCAGTCACGAAAGCTTCAAATCAAGATTAAATAGGATACAAGCTGAAAAACATAAAAAGCATGGAGAGATGCAGGCTTCGAATTGAACAAGAGACAGAGAAACACATGAATCGGAGAACAACACACAAATCATAGACACATTGACTGTTCAGGAAAGTAAAGGGTGCTTGGGCAGAACATTTTGCTGGGAGAGATAATCACCCGTGACCCATGGATAACCTATAACGATGATTTTTAGAAAAATTATCCAACAACATCAGTTTGAATGTGCGCAAGTGACATTACCTTTTGTTTTTCAGCGGCAAGACATTTGCGACGCGCTAGCTGGGAGCCACGGGAGCAGCTGGGAGCTGACGGCGCAGCCACGCTGCACCAGCCTCAAAGACAGACACCTGCACATGTTGAACACATCTCGATAGATGCCACTCCTTTACCTTTCCCTTTATGAAATGTATCCAAATGTTCTTTTGTTCCTATAATTTTTTTTTATATTGTATGTCAATCATGTGCATGTAAATGGAAATCTATACAAAAACTTGATGCAATTTATTCCTGCCTGGTTTGTGTTTTCATTCTAATTTCTAAATGTGGGGAATTTGCTAATTTCTTAAGTGAGTTGATTTGGATTCGTCACAATTACACCGCCCCATCAAATGCTAATGCCAGGCCTTTGAATGACTTTCCACTTGTATTAACATTGACAGTAACGGTACTTGTGAACCAAAATTGCTCTCAAATAAAACCATTGTTAGCTCTTGTATGTTATTTTCTTACATGATATGTAAACTTATTAAACATAATATGAAATCAGAGCTCCTTTTATTTGGCAGCGACATTAAACTTAAGGGAAAGTAACATTTACTTGAATGGTAGATTATAAGATAAATAGTTATTCTCTTGATTTGAAGCTTTCATGACTGCAGGAATCCATACTCTCTGGTTCTTTCGGTAAAGTCACGTAGGTAGAAAAAATAATGAAAGAAACACGACGTTGGACGCTTGAGTCTTTACCCAAAGAAGCAGAGAGTATAGTTATTCTCTTGTGATTGCCATCTACCACCCTGAACATGGCCTCGCCACCTTCATCAAGCAAGGTCTAAAGGACTATCATCAGTGCGCTATGACCCCACCAATTAGTACGGTTGGCTACATACGGTGTGAAAGAAGTTCAACATATACATGGATAGAAGGCTGACCTTCAAGCCCCACAAAACAGATTTGTGAAAATACCAAATCAATGCCCCTACTACAGAAACTTGCATGAACGACCTGGGGTGCCTCAGCTGCTGTGCTGTGAGCTTTTGCCCTATCTTTGATATACTCTATCAAATTGTTGTGCTCCAGTCCGGTACGGGAGCCCGTACACAAAACTGATAGATGTATAAATAATACAATGTGCTTTTTAAGCAGAATATGGACAGCAATCCCATGACTCCCTGTTATGCTCAACATTCTGCTACCAAATATCTGCAGAGACATGCCAATCTCAAGGGAGTTTACACGTTATTTTGCAAACGACAACCTATCCATCAACCAAAACCTCAAGTATATACCTCGCCACTGCCAAAGTCCCAATCTCCCTTCTGGGATTATGTTATCGACATCCCAGAATCTCACCCAGACATTGAAGAATGCTGGCGAGCGGCGTGGAACAACGCAGATGCCTAGAATTAACACCTAATTCGAGACTCAAAACATCGCACTTCATGGCTTTGACATTCTTCAAAGACACTGGTGTAACATCAACCGCATCAGGACATCAACAAGTCAATGTGCACATCTTCACAAATGGAAATTAAAGGCAAGCCATGGTGTGATTGTCCATGCAATCCAAACTATGGACCATATAGTAAATCAATAACCTGTGCTTCAACGGAGGGGGAATAGCAGAGTGACACGAACTCGATCCCGAAATCCTCTCGGGGATAGCAGACCTCAACATTGGGATTTAATATATTACCATATACGTAATGTAAATATAAATTGAATGAACGATGAAATTTTGTGAAATTATATCTAACCAGACATGTAAAATGTTCGTGAGATACAAGGCCATGCTAGCTAGATCAGGTTACCCTAATTTTCAGCTTCTCGCATGTGACGTACATGGAGGTAAATTTATGGCCATAGCAATGCACCGACTTTGAGGGCCATCCATTGGTCGGTCAGTACGCACTTTCTCGGGCTAGATGTTGGCCGATGTCAACAGTAAATAGCCTCTAAATTCCTTAGCCGACCATGTCCTTAAATAAGCCCTGGAATGAACTTGTATGAGGCGCAATTGTCTTGGGGAGAGAGCAAGGGGTGGCTGAAATCTGACGAGTCACCTGATTACAGGCAGTGCGAATGTTTTTAAACCTTCTTTTGAGCCCCATCTCCCCTACCCTGCTGTTCTCCCTCCCAAACCATGAAGTGAACATTTATTTCGTAATTTTAGTCGTTTCAGAACTACGTTTGGATACAAATTATAAATGATCCATGTAGCATTTTTTTTTAAATATTAATATTTCGGTTGATCCTACTTTCAGATGGCTAGACAATTCCTTGATTAGAAAACCAACACTGAAAACTTACTGGGGGAGCATTTTAACACGCAAGCACAAAACCATAAATATTTTTGTATGGCAACTGTAATGTATATCTTGAAAATCACAAAATACGCGTCAGACGATTATATGTGAACATGTAATGCCGTGAATAGATTTTCCACCACTTCAAATAATGACTCAGACTGGTGGTGGATGACCAATCTCCTGGGATAGTGGCTTACCTTGCGGCAGACAAGTCGGAGACACAATCACTTTGTTCTCGAAGATTACATCTCATCACGGACAGGTTGGCAGCCCATTATCGTTTGAACTTGTTTCGACGCGTTTATAAAGTGATATAGATGCGTCATTGACTGTAAGTGAATGCATCAATAATTCGTGAAGTTAAATCCAAATTTTACTTTTGCGGTGTTTCAAGGTTGGATAACTTTGACCCAAGAAGCGTGTTTCATCCTAAATCTCTCTGTCACGATTAGCCCAACACTCAATCAACAAATCATATTATTTGTCAAAAATACTGTACTCTTGAAAAACATGAAGAGCGAAAATTTTAAAACGATATTACGTCCATAAAGTGATGAATTTGGTCATATAAACGTTTGTGGGAATTCGTCGTGGTTGTTACCGTACACGAACCTATTGTGCAGTGACGAGAATCATGATTCCTGATAGCAGTACCTGCACCAACGAACGGTCTATTGATACCAAACAGGATATGTGTATCTATTTTAGGGGCGTATCTGTGTTGTGCGTTTGCGCACAGTATGTATTTTCGGTTTTATCTATTCGTGCGTATGTGTTTTTGTGTGTCTGTCTATATTTGTGTGGGTGTATTTTATGTAATCGTGTCCCTATGTTAGTGTATGTCTATACTTTTGTGCGTGAATATATTAGTTTGTAATTGTCTCCATACTTATATGTGTTTGTGAAACGTGAATCAATTTTGCAAGAACATTCAGATGGGGCTCCTTACGATTCATGCTGGGTTTAACCAGGCTGGATTGTATGAGCATCTCACAGATTCCGTAAAAATCCGGACACAGTCCTATAAGTGAGCTCCTCCGGCAGGCAAGGCTGCTTGCGTTGGTTGGGTGATGTAGCCCGCATGCCCCAGCCACACTGCATGCCAAATCAACGTTCTGTTCGACTGGGTAGATACATTTAACCAGGGGGCGGCACGGGAAAAGAGAAGATACGGGCTGGTGCGGTACAAGAGGATTTGGAGCAAATTGGACTTGCCAATGAGTGGTACCAGAAGTCTCAATATCGACTTCTGTGGAGGAGACTCGCGAAAACACTGCTGGGCGGTGCCAGACTTGGTGCACTTTGACGCTACTGTGCAGTTGGAGAAAGTCACCTTCCAGCAACAACGGAGGGCGGAGGATCGACGCTCACAACAACAATCTGAGCGCCGGGTGACTAAAACGCAGCAAGCTCGCATAGTGGGGGGCCGCATGTGGTGCAGCTGTCAATCATCTCAGTCAACCCATAGCACCTGGGTCTCTCCCATGATCTTCTGCCAGCGAGCCTTCGACACTTCACTCGGCCTCAAGGTGCACCTGGCCTGGCACGAGTGCCGCACTTACATCATCGCCACTTTCGTGGCGAATGGCGGTTGTTGTGTGTCTGTGTGTATATATTTGTTGTGTATTTGTCTGCGTCCATGTGTTTAGGTGTGTCTGTGTAGGTGTCTGTATATGTATGTATATGCTTGTGTGTCTGTGTATACGCGTATCTGTATATATGTGTATGTATGTGTATATGCGTGTTTTTTCGTATATCCGTACATTTTATGCGCATCTCTGTTTGTCAGTATGTTTCCGTTACTTGTTTATACCTACAGTATATCTATAATAATGCTATATCTGTGTGTATTTGTCTGCGTCTGCATGTCGTCCGACACCTGACGTGTGTAATCGTACATCGAGTGATGTATTTGTGATTTAACTTCAGGGCACGCACGTTCCGCTCGGGGAGGATGTTATTCCGCCTGCGGTGAGGATGTCATCACCACCACCACTAAAATATAAACAACCCCCCGTGTAGCCTTAACACACTGTTGGGGCAAGTGCTGTTAGCGAGCACCTATGAAGACCGGCACGGCACACGAATGGGTGTGGTGTCCAGCACCACTCCCGACCGCCTTTGTCTCCCCAGAGGCGATGTTTACACACCGGTACTCATTTGAGGCTGAGACGACCTCGGGGGGAAGCCCAGGACCGGTTCACCATAATCGTCACCGGTGATGCTCGGCCGTGAGCGGGAAGCGAACTCGAGTCGCCGGGTTTGGAGCGCGGCACGCTAACCGTTACACCACCGCTCCCCACATCATCATCATCATCAACACCGTTCCCATCATCGTCATCATCACCACCGCTCTCCACATCATCATCACCACCGCTCCCCACATCATCACCATCACCACCATCATCACTGCCTGTCCATCACGCGGTGGAGTCCCAGGCGGGAGCCAATTGCGCGTGGTTCTCCGTGTGTCCAGGTGACGCGTGCGAGCGCGCAGGTCATCGCCGGGCTATATAAGCAACAAGCCCCGCGGGCTACGGGAGCCTGGTCGTCTCGCCTCGGGGACTTTGACCACGCGTGCCGCTCATCGCACGCAGCACATTGCAAACGCGCGCGTTCTCTGACCAGTTATCTCTGTTTTACGATTCATCCAAGAGCCCCGCACACGACGCAAGTCGTTCGCGGAGCAGGCGAAGCGTTAAAGCCATGAGCTCGCTAAGCGCCAGCTACGTCCAGCACATCGGGTCAAGCCACAGCCAGCACCAGCGCAGGAGGTGCCTCGTCAATCGCTCGTACGGCGCGGGTGGCGGCTGGTGTCCCTCCCTGCAGGGGCCCCGCACCCCGGTCGCCTTCGTGCCCCACGGAGGGACCTCCCGGGTGCGCTCGTGGGGGGTCCCTCCGGCCCCGCCACCGGGGATCGACCGCGGGGTGCTGCCCGTGCGCTTCCAGGAGAAGGAGCAGATCAAGAAGGTCAACGACCGCTTCGTCAGATTCATCGAGAAGGTGTCGGTGGGGGGTGGTGGGGGGAGCGGTGGTACATTGGTTAGCGCACTGCGCTGAATGTGACGATCTGTTGAGTTCGATTGGGAGGCATTAAATTATTTTAATGGTTTTATAATCGGATGATGATTTGGGGGTGGGGGTTTGCGGGGGGAATGGGGGGGGTGTGATGGATTTGTGGCGGAACCAGCAAGGGAGGTGGTAGTAGCGGACAGCTCGTGCGGGGTCTGTAGCATATGTTATAAAGGGGCCCTAAATACATTTAAAAATACATATTAAAACAAATGTTTTACTTGCACAATAAAGTAATTGTATTTTTTTCATTTGTTATGCAGCCAGATAATGGAACAAATCGCTAACCTTAAACGCCCAGTCGGTCGTAAAAGTTGAAGGCAGTATAGTACTGTAGTAATAGAGCAAGTGCAGAATCACTGAACCGGGATTAAAAAGTGCGGGGCCCGTAGCATTGCTACTTTTGCTCCGAGGATAATCCGGCACACTCTGCCACTACTGCTTTGTGCTCAGTGACACCGTTATTCGAGTGTCATTAGTAACCGACTGATGTTCATGTCATTCGGCCAATGTCTGGCTATCACTGGCCCGGAACTTGCCTGCAGTATTCTTTTTCATATTTACCTAGGTGCGCGCACTGCACACATGAAGTACTGTGCGCATATAAATGCAGTGTAATTATCCACCGCACATGTTAAGTGTAGACCGCATAGCTAACCGTATCGTTTTAGAAGTGGCACAGTGGTTAGTTAGCAAAATGTGCTGTGAACCCTCCCACCTGAGTTCGATTCCATTCCATGGCTAACATCGCTAGCGAGGGTTATCTGAATCGGTCCTGGGCTCCCTGCTTTATCAACCCGTGCTGACCAGTGTGGTGAAGTATGGTCACATAGCCCCCATGACTGACATTACATGGGGGCGCCAGTCTTCATCCAGAAGTGGATTGACACACGGCTCTATATTATGACATGCATTATGATGCATTATTATTTTATAGACATCTCCACCGATACAAAAGATATGAGACGTACAGTGAGGGAAAAAAGCATTTGATCCCCTGCTGATTTTGTACGTTTGCCCACTGATCAGTCTATAATTTTAATGGTAGGTTTATTTGAACAGTGAGAGACAGAATAACAACAACAAAATCCAGAAAAACGCATGTCAAAAATGTTAGAAATTGATTTGCATTTTAATGAGAGAAATAAGTATTTGACCCCTCTGCACCGTCAAACATGGAGGTGGAAACATTATGCTTTGGGGGTGTTTTCTGCTAAGGGGACAGGACAACTTCACCGCATCAAAGGGACGATGGACGGGGCCATGTACCGTCAAATCTTGGGTGAGAACCTCCTTCCAGCATGACAATGACCTAAAACACACGGCCAAGGCAACAAAGGAGTGGTTCAAGAAGAAGCACATTAAGGTCCTGGAGTGGCCTAGCCAGTCTCCAGACTTTGGATTTAAAGCTTTCGTGACTGCAATAATTCATATTCTTAGCTCTTTCGGTAAAGTCACGTTGAAGGGGAACAATAAAATAATAAAATGTTTTATATATATTTTATTTTATGTTTGATATATATTTTATTATTTTATTGTTCCCCTTCAACGTGACTTTACCGAAAGAGCTAAGATTATACAGTCTCCAGACCTTAATTCCATAGAAAATCTGTGGAGGGAGCTGAAGGTTCGAGTTGCTAAAAGTCAGCCTCGAAACCTTAATGACTTGGAGAAGATCTGCAAAGAGGAGTGGGACAAAATCCCTCCTGAGATGTGTGCAAACCTGGTGGCCAACTACAAGAAACGTCTGACCTCTAAGACTGCCAACAAGGGCTTTGCCACCAAGTACTAAGTCATGTTTTGCAGCGGGGTCAAATACTTATTTCCCTCATTAAAATGAAAATAAATTTATAACATTTTTGACATGCGTTTTTCTGGATTTTTTTGTTGTTATTCTGTCTCTCACTGTTCAAATACACCTACCATTAAAATTATAGACTTATCATTTATCTGTCAGTGGGCAAACGTATAAAATCAGCAGGGGATCAAATACGTTTTTCCTTCACTGTATGCACGTATCACGATTGTATGAATTGCATTAAATTCGTTTATTCACTGAAACGTTCCTTATATTATTACACTTTAACATCTTACCACTGCTCACCGAGATTCACACTGAGTCCCACCACAATAGCCAGTAGACATACTGATGTGCAGTCTTGTGTGACAACGTTGTGCTTTTGTTCGTACAACGGTGCATGGATGAAATGGGGATATTAACAGGAAACGGTACATCCTTGCAAAATTACGTAATTTTATTTTGACTTTTTGGGGTTCTAAAAAACTTTGTCAGTACAAAAAAAAAGTGCCATGCCTTAAATTCGTCTTTTGCCGATGAATGCCATAATTACCTGACACGTAAGGGATCCCAGAACAACGGCAATGTGGGCCGAACAGAACTGCAGTCGATACATTCCAGCGAACTACGTGACACCTGCCGATGACCAAATCACTGTCAATGCGCCCCAGCTCGAGAGCTAAGTAGAGTTTGTATAGTCCTTAGATGGCTGGCCACCGTGTATCAAAAGGGTGTTCTAGGCTGCTGCGGGTTTATAATGTGAGCAGCAGATGGCATTGCAGCATCTATGTTCCAAATAGAAAAAAACAACAACCCCACACTCATCATGGGACCTCCTTTGCCAGTACCAAAATATGATCATAGGTTTTTCCCCTTTTTTCTGGCAACAAAACAGGTGTTAAGATGTTAAAACACCAAACTGAGACCTTTTACAAGGAATCATGTCTGCATTAACCACAATGCTTGTGGTCAAAATGCAAACAAAAAAGCATACTCTCATAATATATGCATTGTCTTTGAAATTGATTGGTGTTTGCATTCTGACCACAAGCATTGTGGTTAGTGCAAACATGATTCCTTGTAAAAAGGTTTAAGTTTGGTGTTTTAACATCTTAACACAACTGTTGTGTAGCCCCACTCTCACCAGTGTGATAAAGGATGTTCAAATGACCCCCACCCCACCGAGCCACGCAGCATTGGGAGTTCCTCATCTGGCCGTGGATGGAGAGAAGGGCTCTCTATACAGGTACACGGTCTATACCCACCCCACCCCTCAGAGCTCAGTCACCTGGGGGCAGTTCGAGGGGTCCTGAGGACCGGTGGCGATGCATGGAATGTGTGAATGCCGGTTTTCATTTGGCACGCATGCCATTGTCGCTTTCGAGCTGACAAGGACGTTTTAAAAAGTCCTTTATGACTACTTGAGCTATGCGCGACATGTGGGTGTTAAGTCCCTGGAGCCTCCACTCCCATCTCCACGATGTCTTATTAAAGAAAAAAGTTGTGCACAAATACAAATAGTACGAATTCAACATTAACCTCAATAATCCATACTCTTTGGTTATTTCGGTAAAGTCACCGAAATAACCAAAGAATATGGATTCCTGCAGTCACGAAAGCTTCAAATCAATAATACTTCATTAAGAGGAAACATATGATTGGCGATGTATCGGGAAATGGCCCTTCTTCATAGCAGAGTGATCTTCATCTCTCTACCATGAAGTCTGGCTTTGAAGACCCTCATTTCTCTGCTATGAAGTAGGGCCGTTTCCCAAAATGTTAACTATCACATACTGCACTGTATACCCTTTCCCTTTGAGGTCAGTTTTACTGAGTATTAAAACAACAGAGGGGCTTTCAGTAGAGCATAACTGGACGTTGTCGTGCCGACTTGAGAGTCTATAATCATGAAAGTAATCTGTGACTCAACTTGTTTTCCTGTCGGAGATGCAGTCCTGGAAACCATAATTTGGGCAATTGCCCATCTTGTGCTGCACTTTTTACCAGTGGTAAATATTAAATATTTAAAGAATATTAAAGAAACACTTTATGACTGACGAGTCCCTTCACGTGAATTTAAAATAAATATTGGATGTGGTTATTATGCACCCGCCTATAATCCACTCACTTTGAAGTGGGTGATCACGTGTCGCGCGGGAGACACCCATCTGCATTTGCAGCCAATCGCCTGTATGGAGCAGTGCAGCAAGTAGGTTTCTCAGCCTGTGTCGAGTTTTGAGTGTCAGCGCCTCCTTTTTCCGGAGTTTTCTCTTTGCGCTTCAGTTTCCTCCCAGGTGCATACATAAACCGGCCAAACATTCGAATTAAGGCCCTTGAGAAAATTAGGATTTCGACTCAGTGGAGCGTTCCAAGCTCATCATCATCATCAGCAGCAGGAATGGTGAATCCACTGCTGGATAAAGGCCTCCATCAAGACGCCTCCACCTCTTGGGGTCTCACGATGCAACAAACCACACAGTACCTGCACACGAACCGATTTCGTTGCTCCATCTCTTCGTAAATGTCCTGTAAAATGCATTCTATTCTCTGGCTATAGCTTTGTAGCTAAATATAAAACATATTTTCATAATAGAGGCTGGGCCGCAAGTTAGTTACCTGCCCCTGGTAGCCCTAATGTGAGAGGGTCCAGGACTGTAGAGAAGGGGCGAGGTGAAACAGTGTGTTATGGGTTACAGATCCAGGGCGTGGGCGAGTTGGGGGTTGCTCAGAAAAGGCTGAGGAGGCCTCAGAAGTGGCCTCATCTGGCAATTCGCCCTCGGACTTCAAAAACCTTCTTAAGCGGCCCTGGCTGTGGGCCATAAATTCGTACCCCACCCTGTCCCCTTAGTATCCTCTTTTCCATTGTGTCTCCCACCACAGGTGGGCATCCTGGAGCAGCAGAACAAAGTGCTGGAGGTGCAGTGGCTGCTCCTGCAGGATCGTGGAGCCAGGGGCTCCAAGGTTGAGGCGAGCGTGTTCTTCCAGAGCCAGATCCACGGTCTCCAGCGGCAGCTCGACACTCTGGAGCGCGACAAACAGCGGCGGCAGGGAGAGCTGCGGCTCACGCAGGGCCTCGTCGAGGACTTCAAGAACAAGTGCGCGTCGACGCGGCGGATGTGCAGGGATGTGTACAGCGATGCGCCTAGCCCCGTTAGGGGAGCAAGTAGTGTAGCGGTTAGCGCGCCGCGCTACGAACCCGGCGACCCGAGTTGAATTCCTGCTCACGGTCAACACCAGCGACGATTATCTGAACTGGTCCTGGGCCTCCCCTATGTCGATTCAACCTGAAATGAGGTCCTGGTGCGATTTGTAAACATTGCCACTGGGGAAACAAATGCGGTCGGGCGTCTTGCTGGCCACCCACCGCCTCCTGTGCCATACCGGCCTTCATAGCTGCTCGCTAGCAGCACTTGCCCCAACAGTTTGTTACAGGCTATACGGGGGATCTTTGTCTTTGTTTGTCTGGCACATTGGGGATCTTAAACGGAAATTATTTTTGAAGGCCATTTTATTCATAACCTCCGAATGAAATTGCAATAGAATGAGATGTATAGATAAGAGAGAGAGAGATGTAGCGAGATGAGAGAAATGCGGATAAAAGATCAATGTGGAGTGAGATTGGAGCGATACAGATGAGACAGAGATGTAGTGAAATTAAAGGGATGAAGACAGTGGCGTAACTCGATCATCAGCTCGGGGGATGCGGCAATCAGAAGGTGGGGCCCCAATGTGTTGAAAACATACCCTCATGGTGGTTGTCAAGAGCCATCCCTTGCCCCCACCCGAGTTATGCTACTGGATGTAGACGATACAAATATTAGAGTGAGATTAAGGAGAGACAGACAGGATAGGGACGTGAACGATTCATGCACTTTATCTTATTTAACTTTTATTCTGCGTGTAATTATTTAAAATTTAGCTGATATTTTATGCACCCCTATTCTCCATGCACATGGGGCCCCTTGAGTTACTCGGGGACTTAAGTGTTTGCATAGTTCGATGAATGCCTTGTGCCACCATTGCACACGTACATAGAGCCCGTGGGTCAACTCACGACTGGACGTTTGTCTCCCCACACGGTGCAGGCTGTGAGGGTTATTTCGACCACGGTAGCCACTACGCTACCGCTCCCCAGTGTAGCATTAACAACAACAACCGCCATTCGCCACAAGTGGCGGTGACGTCTCCACGGCGCTCGTGCCAGGCTATGTGCACTTTAAGGCCACGTAAAGTGTCGACAGCCCACTGGCAGGAGGTCACGGGACAAACCCAGGTGCCATGGGTTGACTGACTGAGATGACTGGCCGATGCACCATCTGTGCCCCCTACTATGCCAACGGTAGCACTAATGTCACACTATCACATACAGTGTAAACCTTTAACATTTTAAAAGTTGAGTTCCACGTATAAATTATGTTTCTGTTCTTTTAGGTACGAGGAAGACAAATCGATCCGCAACAAGGCAGAGAACGAGTTTGTTGCGGTGAAACAGGTGATGTTTATAACATTTCTGCTGAGATGTTCATCCTCTAAACACAATAATTCTGCGATTGGCCGAAAGCACAATCGCAGAATTATTCCAATAAACTCAACCAACAATGTCTGTCGTCTTTGGCAGGATTTCGACGACTCTTGCTTAGTGAAAGCTGAGCTGGAGGCTAGACTGGAAGGACTGAAAGATGAGATCAACTTTCTCAGAGGAATTTTTGAAAAGGTCAGGACCAATTACCTGGCCGCACCCATATATGTTTTTTTTTCCATTCACGGTGTGTAATATTAGAACACGGTACTCAGTCAGGCCGGGTTTTACCGCAGTCCCACGCCAGTGCCCTGAACGCGATCCCCACTCTCCATTTTAGGAGCTGCGTGACCTGGAGACGCAAATCAAGGACACCTTGGTGTCTGCGGGGGTGGACACTAGCCGCAGCATTGACGTGCAAGGGATGATCTCTGATGTCCACGCTCAGTACGAATTGATTGCTGCCAAGAGCCAGGCCGAAGCCAATGAATTCTACAGGAAGAAGGTAAACACATCGGCAGCAGCAGAAGCCACGGACGTGAAAGAGGATTTCGGCGAGGCAGCGACACCGCCCACTTATCTGCCTTAGTCCATCTGCCACGATCACTGAGAAGCGTCTCCCAAGCAGAATGTCAAGTGTCAAGACTTTTTTTTATTTCACATCGGCATACCCTCCCATCACGCCACCCTGACCAATACATTGCAATAAATTACTTTTCGCCACATTCATACTCAATCATCATTATTAATTGTGTCTGTGCTCTGCAGATTTGATTGAATTTTACAAAGCCTGCTGGTGTTGAAACTGCATCAAACCCAAACGATTTGCTTTGATTGAAATTAGATTTAAAAAACTAATCCGAGGTGGTGTCAGCTGTTCTTTAATGCTTAGTCAGATGAAGTGATGAAATGGTAAAAAAAGTATATTTTTATTATAATAAGTGTTTGTTATTGCTTATAAAATATGTCATCGAGTCTCAAGACTTTTTCAGGAGGTTTCTGCTCGATTGATTGGCAGAATGCGTCGAGACGGCGCAGACACGAGCTGCTTGCTTGTTTTATAGTACGACCTTCTCAGCCTCTCGGCCGATCCGACCGACCAGGAGATCCGCAGCAACAGGAACGAAATGAACAATCTGCACCGTCAGATCCAGCGCGTGAGAGGTGAAAGCGACGCTCTGAAGAAGCAGGTACGAGCTGCCTGCACTTCTATTTGAGCCACAGAATATTGTTTTCATATGTGCAGACACGGAATTTATTTTGTGTCAAGGTATTGATTTTAGCATTCAACAGGGTCCCATATTTTACATGGAACACTCTTGCCAATAACGTCTAATATTCTCACAGCATTTGATTTTGATGACGCTGATTTTACTGATGAGACCTAGCAGGTCAAAACCAATCTAGATATTTACTTGATTAACAAATGCTGCTCAATATGTTGGCCTGCAAATCCAGTAAGCCGATGGAATATATTTTTTTTTTAATGTGGAGCCACAGGGGTCTGCTTATTTTGTTTGTTGGAGGTGCTCACCCTCATTGCACTCCCTAATTTGAGCAGAGGCTAAGCAGAGGGTGAGCACCACCCACCACCTGCTTGACCACGATGCCGAGCGGTCCTGTGACTCCGGTTTGTGAATACACCAGCGCGCCAGCCTGCAGGCTGCCATCGCAGGGGCCGTGGATCGAGGCGGGCTCAGCGTCTGCGAGGCGAAGGAGAGAATCGCCCGCCTGGAGGAGGAGCTGCACAAGGACAAGCAGCAGAAGGTGCAGCGCGTGCGCGAGTACCAGGAGCTCATGAACGTCAAGCTGGCTCTGGACATCGAGATCGCCACCTACGGCAGGCTGCTTGAGGGAGAGGAATCCAGGTGGATGCCTCAGCATCTTGTACATCCGGCGCCTCCCTGCTGACCAACAACCTTGTCGTGTAGCTGTCGAGTGCACAGGCAGTGCAACTGCAGGCACAGCCAATTTCTCATTTGCTCTGCCCCGTTCCCTCCTATTCCTCGCCCACACCGCTCCGATAATAGCCTAAACAAAATACTCAAATTTTCCAAGCACGCAAAATTGCCATAGTTTTTCCTATGCCCATTGTCGGGTATCTTGGCTATCCTGCGGTCACATTCAGACAGCTGTGTCGAGATGTTCTTTTCGTTGCCTGGTACACATGAAGTTGTGGGTTCAATCCCAGCCCTGACGATGCATGTATAGTTGGAGTTCGCACGATTTCTCTCCCTGAGGTCGATTTTTCTCCAAGTCCTCCGGTTTTGCCCTCCACATTTAGAAACATGCATTTAGACTATTTGGCTGCTACTATAAAGTCACATGTGTGATAATATAAGCCACTTCGATAAACTATAATGTGTGTCTAGGTCTCCATTGAAAATAAAAAAGCGGTAAATAAAATTGTTTAGTTAATTGCCTAGTTTAGTTGATATGCTTTTATAATTGAAGTCTGTTGTAACTATTTGAAACTCGTTCATTTTACAGACTCGGGTGTGTCACATCGCAGAAGCAGCATTTCAGCCTCGGCTTTGGGAGTGACCTTGTCAACAAAGGTGAGGAGGAGAAGAAGAAGAAGGGCGGGTCCTGATTTAATTGCTCAAGCAAACAGGGGCGGCACTGCTTGGCACGTCTCGAAGCTGAACCTTTCATGTTTTAATAGACGTGCTCTATTAAAACTTAACAACAATTTAACCGTTTTTTTGGTATTTTATTAGGTAAGGCCTACTTAGCTATATAGACGCAACCTGGCCACAAACGATAGCTAAAAGAAGTGATTTATCACGTGGAAATTTATAGCAGCTAAATACTCGAATAGGCATATGCTCACTTGGACATGTGTACTGGTATTGCCGTTTTTTCAATCCGCCGCATGGGTCAGGGCCTCCGTATGCTGTGCGGGCCTTGGGGGTTCACCTAATTAACCACTCTGATCAGTGCAAGTAGTTAAAGGTGAGGAGCATAGACGCGGGTACATAGGAGTAGAGTACAACAATGGATTTGTTTTCCACTGCCCAACATGTTGACCTGCAGCTTATAACAACCTGTTTGTGAATGGTGGTCTATGCAGGCTCAACCTGCTTAGCTTTCGATATCTGACAGGATCGGTGCATTGCAGGGGATTTGGTAATAAGTTTATGCTCACTTAATCCCACATTAATATTATTAAAAGATGTGACCTGCGCATTCATGTGTGCAGAAGTAAAAATAATGAAACAATTTGTAACACGCACAGATCGTCTGACACAAACAAATTAATATTCGATCACAACTGGGACAGACCCAGAGTCACTTTTGTACGCTCATCAGAACAGATGTGCTGTTAGTTGCCTCTTGAAAGTGGAGGGAATTTGGATGAAATCAGCACATAGTGAATGTGTGTTGCGTGTGACACATAAGTCAGATCGCTCTCTGTGGTTTTTCTTGCCAAGAAATATATTTCTCAGAGCTATACTAAACAATACAATCGCAAACTGCGAAATTGAACTTCTGCTTTCGAGTTGTATCGTACAACTGTATTCAAACTCGCGTTTGTCCTCTTCACATCAGGTCACCACGGCAGTTCCCATGCCACGACGAATTTCGACAAGGCGATTAACTTGTACAAGCCTCCCAACAAAACAGTGGAGATCAGAACCACCGAGACCAGGAATGGTCGAATTCTTTACGAAAGTTCAGAGTTCATCCATGAGGTTATTGACTTTCCAGGGGACGCTGCTGTTGTGTGACAGTTAGCAAAGTGGACTTACATTTCTGAGGTCGACAGTTCCTTCTCCCGGCGCGGAAGTTTAATTTTTTTTTGCCAAATTTAGTTGAACCTCTGTCCACCCAGCAGTATAAATGGGCACCACAGTCATAATGAGAATCTGGATCTGTATTTATCCTCGAGAAATCCGATAAGCTATGAAGCTCTTTTTCACAAATGCCCAGTCAGAAAGCTACAGCAACAAACAATAGACGAAACGATCGGAGTGCAAAATAAATCACAAAAAAAAGTAAAATAGATCAAGTATATGAAGTTCAAATTGCCTATGTGCACCAATTCCCAAGCTTGGGAAAGGCAGCAAAGCAACAGCAAAAACAGTCCCAGACCGAACCAAGACAACACACACAGTCCTTCAATGAGTCGATCGGTCGGTCGCGTGTGCTGGGGTTGAAGTGTGGCCAGCTTGGAAGAAAGGGACGAATACCTTCTAATTGATCACGGCTCTCGAGAGCTCCCTTTTTCGTGGAAACCCATCTGACAGCAGTTGTTGCGAGCAAGCAATTGCAGGGCTGCCCCTTTATGTTTAATGACACCCTCATATCGAGGGAGAGTGAGCGATATAATGCACGCATTATCTCGGCAAGTGCGTTCTTGCAACGCAACTGATATAAATGTTTCAGTAAAGTATGTTTTTACAAGTGAAGTACAATCAACTGTATCGTTTTGTAGTGTACATATATTTACTTTGTTTCGGGTGAATGTAATGTATTTTCATTATATTAGGACAATCCCATTTACATGTTCTTTGGTTCTTTCGGTAAAGTCACGTAGAATGAGAATAAATTAATAAAATAACACAATAAAATTCTCACTTTACATGTGTTTATCTTTTCCTGTCAATTGTGTGCCTATCTGCATTTGGAAGTCGAAACGCTTGCAATATAAAGTTTACGTTATAACGACGGTGTGCTTCCACTGTGCTTTTTTGGGGGGGTTACATCTAAACATTGCAAAATTGATCACCTGTGAGATGAGACGAGTGCGAGACCGGCAGACTTTCACAAGACAACTCGAGAGGCATCGCAAAGCTCTCGGGTTATTGTGACATTTGTTACGATTATACTGGGCCGGTGATGAGCGTGTAACGAGCGTGCAATGATGACCACCACATGAACGAGGAGTTGCATCGCGGGACTGTAAGGAATGGTGGCGGCTTGAAGTGGCCTTCACCCTGCAGTGGTTTGATCATGGCTTGCGATGATGATATGCATAACTGCAGTTACATTTTGATTTAAAGCTTTCGTGACTACGGGATTCATATTCTTCGGTAAAGTCACTTAGAAGGGAAACAATAAAATAATAAAAATATAAAACAATAAAATTCTCACGACGTTTCGACTGCAACACAAGCAATCATCATCAGGTGTGAAACCCACAGCAATAACATTTGAAAAAAGTGGCGGTTATTTTTAACGTTAGCACCACGGAGAGCGATTTGACAGTTTGTTCAGATGGACGAGTCCATCTATGTTCGAAAAAGAGGAGGGGGGAGACGAAAAATAATGGATGTGGTCTGAAAGCCACCGTAAGCGTGAACAATCAATTAAGACCCGAAATGGTTTATCTAATCCTTCCAATGATTGCTAAGCCAGAATCCATCTTCTCGGTTGAAATTGTCTCTGTGTTTGTATATGTATATGTGGATAGCCTCATGAACGATGTATGTCCGGAATCACATCTTTTACATACAGTACCCTGGTGTCTACAAACTAAGTTGCTTCTGTGGTAGTAGTTACATTGGAGAAACCAAACGACATGTCTCGGACCGTATTCGTGAACACAAAGCAGACCTTAAACACGGTAAGACCAACACCTCGGCCGTGGCAGATCATGGTTATCATTCAGTAGCCTCACATGACATTGACTTCTCCAAGACAGAGGTTCTTTGCAAGCCATCTGGCTACCATGAGAGATTCGTTCATGAGGCTATCCACATATACAAACACAGAGACAATTTCAACTTAGAAGATGGATTCCGGCTTAGCAATTATTGGAAGGATTTGATAAACTATTTCGGGTCTTAATTGATTGTTCACGCTTATGGTGGCTTTCAGACAGCATCCATTATTTTCGCCTCCTCTTTTCCGAACATAGATGGACTCGTCCATCTGAATAACTGCAGTTACGTCTCTGAAAGTAACACATCTCCAAGCGTTAGAGTGTTTCATTTAAACAATTGTGACGCGTCAAATTGAAGCTAATTTCGTCCAAAATGTTAATTATAAGAACCTTAAAGCATGTATCTATGGGACCTTTTCACCAGTATAAAAATTATGAAAAAAATAGGTTTCATAGCCTATTCTGAAAACATTTCGAGATGAAGTTTTACTTTGACTACCACAGCTATTGATCTAGTAAACGACAGTTTATTACAATACTTCAGGACCTCATCACTATAATGCCACCGTGTTTGATGCTGTATCTGCTTTATAATTACTATAGCAAATTTAAATGAGTATTTTTCTAGATACAGCGTGGTATTTGATGATAATCTATATTTAACTTAATTTTTCTTTAAACATGTTATATTGCGATTATGATTTGCAATAAAAAAAAAATCCTATCTGTTATTGTTTATTATTGCTGCATTTTACTGTGACTTGTTTCGTTTGTCGGAGAAGCGCTGTTTTTGTTGTTGAAACCACAATTTAAGAGCTTCTTGGCTCACAGGGTACTTCAAAATAAACTGAACGGAACTAGCAGCGGCCACGATCAATCCACTGCTGGATGAAAGCCTGCCCGAGCCGTTGCCAATCCCTCGCTGTTCCGCAATGCAACAACCCATCTGACATCGTGCACGTGAGCTGATTTCATCACTCCATCTCCGCGGTGGGCATCCTCTCGGGTGTGTTCATTTTTTCCTTCAGCTGCCACGAAGTTGTCGTGAGTCTCGATGGCTGCCCATCGCATCCTCCAGCGACATGTCCTGCCAGGACCATTTTAATGCACGCACAATGAAGCCATAACATTGGCCCCACGAGGAGTTCCACTATGGGGGGACATCAAAGTTGCCTGCGTGTTCAATATTCAACAGACAAAAAACTCGAATGGTCCTCGGGCAACGACACCACGCTATGTATACACACACACCTATTATGCTTTGTTTACGACCTTGTGGCGTATAAACAATATATTTTGTAAATTTTTTATAACACTCGAAGAGGTAAATGCCACCCGTTGTATGTCTGGCAGCTGTTAGGGATTAGACGTGGCGCGCTTGCGTTAAAGACATTTCCTTGGGCACGTTCCACTTCAAAGTGCGGGAAAGTGTCACAGGTTTGAGTCTGGAGGGTCGTATGTATGTATGTTGAACTTCTTTCGCACCGTACGTAGTCAACCATACTTATCGGTGGAGATGTCAACCTAGTGGTGGCACTAGGCAGACACAAACTACAAAATAGCAAAAGGCCCCGAACCACCTCAAGGGGCCCTGGTATCATGATAAAATAGGAATGCGCCCAAAACAGCTCCAATTAACATCTTCATTAATCTCTCTCATCTCTATATTTTCTGCAGCTCACTTTTCTCATCTCGCTGTATCTCTATGTTTCATCTACCTCTCTCTCATATCACTACATTTATGTCTCATCCGTATCTCTTTCATAACCTCGTTACGTCTCATATCTTTTGTACACATTTCTATCTCTTGTGTACAGCTCTTCTATAGTCTCACTGCGAGGTTCTAATTTTAAAAGGGGACCCCGGGAATTAGTTCTGCTTTAGGGCATCCCAATGGGCCAGCAGACACCGCAGTGGCTACCTTAATGTTTAATAAACTGTGGCCAAGATACGCCGATCGAGACACACCATGACCACGTACCATGGCCGCTCCCTGTGTCTCTCCCTGCGGGCAAACAACCACACACGCGTGGGCTGAGAGGGAGTGCGAGACATGAGGAAACCCTGTGGGGCGATGCGTGGAGGAGGAGGAGGAGGTAGCGAATAAACCACGAGGAGGGAGTGTGCAGGGAGGTGTGCGGTTGCGTTGAGAACTCGTGAGCAATGTGTAGGTGGAGTTGTCTGCACGCCCGTGGAAGGGAGTGGAAGGGTGTTGAGTGTGTCAATGGTAGAGGGGCGGTTTGAGGATGGGTGAGGTTTTTTATGGGTGCAGGTGAGTGACTTTATGAAGTGGGATGTGAGGTTGCAGGGGTGGGTTGGGGTGCAGGTGAGTGACTTTGTGAAGTGGGATGCGAGGCTGCAGGGTGAGTTTGGGTGCAAGTGAGTGGCTTTGTGAAGTGGGATGTGAGGCTGCAGGCTTGGGTTGAGGTGCAGGTGAGTGGCTTTGTGAAGTGGGATGTGAGGCTGCAGGGGTGGGTTGGAGTGCAGGTGATGTGAGGCTGCAAGGGTGGGTTGGGTACAGGTGAGTGGCTTTGTGATGTGAGATGTGAGGCTGAAGGGGTGGGTTGTCAAATAGGTGGAAGGGTAGGGAGGAGTGTTCTGGCCGCGGACGAATAGTTTACTGAAGTAGTAATGCAAAGACACACGCCTGGCGTTTACGGAGACTTCCCCACAATGTGTACGCCCGCTTCTCATACAGGGTGCGTCCCGGTCGCGGCATTCGTTTGTTGATTGAAATTAACCCCAAAGTCGCATGCAAACTTCTGGGTGCGGGTGCCCGTTTCTTCCTCGTGCCTGCAAAAGCAGCATGCGGTAAAAGAAAATCAGTTGCGTAACATGCCTCCTGATGACGATCGCTCGTGTTGTGATCGAAACGTCGTAGTTTTTTGTTTATTTTATTTTCATTAATTTCAACCTATCTACGTGACTTTTGCCGAAAGACCCAAAGAATATGAATTCCTGCAGTCACGAAAGCTTTAAGTCAAGATTCGATGCTACTATTACTGCACCGTATTCTCCACGTTGTAAGACGCACTCCCAAATGGGTATGCGGCGCCAATACAATTGTACAAATCTGGTCACACACACGAGCACCTACCCGATTTGCAAGACACACCCAAACGTTTGTTTTAAAATATTGGTAACTAACTCGCGTCGCAGCGATCGGCGCTGCGAGTAAATGCACACGAGGAGTGGTGCCGTGTAATGTCGCTTGCGACATGAACATTCACAACGACAATGTCGACACAAAAAGGCGAATTGCTGATAGGTGGGGGGGGGGGGGAGCCTTTACCTAGCAGTGGATTGACCATGGTTGATGATCGCGATGATGGAGGCATATTCGACAGCCGTTTTTTTTTATGTCGATCACCGTCGCCCGTGCCCCTGACTGTGAACTTAGCAAGTTAATGACTCGGCACAAGGACTGACGTTCATAATTTATTGTACTCTGTGGTAAACTGGCAAATTCGAGTTGCTTAGCTACCGCGCTATACCATGACAGCACCTGAGTTCTATTCTTGACCTTGGTGTAGATGAGCGGTGAGTGATATATGAGCCGCTTCAAGAGCCCCTTTCATCAACCCGCGGTGACCAGCGTGAAGACGTACTGCCAAACAACTCCCATGATGCTCTCACCACGCGGAGACCTTCATCCAGCAGTGGATTACTGACATCATGTTAAACAACTCGCCGCGGTGGTCAGATGTTAACTACCTCGCCTGGTATGCAGGAGGTTTGTGGGTTCGATCCCGACCATGAAGCCTGCTGTATATTTGAAGTTTGCGTGCCTCTCTCCCCGTGTGGTCGCGTGGATTTTTCTCCGGGTCCTGCAGTTTTTCCCTCCACATTTAGAAACATGCGTTTAAAGCATTGGGCTGCTATACATTTCCACATGATAAGCCACTTCCTTTAGCTATCATTTGCTGCTAGGTTGCTTCTGAAAGAGAACTATATAGCTCAGTGGACCTTACCTGGCAAAATTAAAAAATATATATATCGTTTATTTAACAGCATCAACGTGAAGTGTCGCTGAACGTGGGTGCACAGCGCCTCCCGGGCAGAC